GTGGATGGGCATCATTGATGGATATTTAATTGGACCGCATTTTCTGCCCGCCAATTTAAATGGAGAAGTGTATGAAGAGTTCTTGAAAAATCACTTGTTTCCATTAATGGAAGACGTCCCATTGGCGACGAGACAAAATATGCGGTTCCAGCACGACGGCTGTCCCGCACACTACAGTAGATTAATACGGGCGTATTTAGACCAAATCAATGGATTGGCAGAGGCGGGCCCATTGCCTGGCCAGCAAGAAGCCCAGATCTCACACCGATGGATTACTATGTGTGGGGACATATGAAAAGCCTGGTGTACGATGTTTCGCCCGTACCAACGCGCGATAAATTAATTACAAGAATAATCAGTGCAGCTGACCAAATAAAAAGCCGCTTAACAACTAGAGCTATCAAAAGTGAATTACGTAAGAGAATGCGGGCGTGTATTCGTAACAGGGGATTACAATTTGAGCAGAATCTGTAAAGTAAATGTAATTAAATAAAACTGTAATTAAAATAAAAGCCTTTTATTTACCCTGCGTAATTATCGTTCGTACAATTTTACTCATCTTTTTTTAATTTTATGTCTTTGTACTTGAGTTAGTTGTAACTTTTATACCTCAAATGAAAACTTGTTAGATAGAGGTATTATTTACACAATTTGTACATTCCATTACTAAATTTTTTACAGAATTTTTTATCGAATAAGTTAGTAAAAAAATAAGAAAATCATACATTTCAAAAGCGTAATTTTAAAGCTTTTGTAAGTTTTCAACATTTTATTACTTATTATGAACTATTGGAATGTCTGCTATGCGACGATAACAAAAAACTCAAAAAGCAAACATGTAGTTTTTTGAATTTCAAATTTAACCGCCTGAAATCGGAATAAAAAATAAAAAAAATAAAATTCAAATAACTCAAAAACGGTTAACTTCTGGGTAGGACATTATAGGACAAAATCGTTTGCTTTTGACCTAATCTATCATTACACGCATATACTCGTACAGTGCTTCCCCCACCCTACTCGTTTTTTGAACGGGTCACGTTAGCAAGCTGAAGCTGAGATTAGATTTCCAACGATTCCTTCTCCTTCTCAACATGCATTGCTTCAATATTTTCATAATTAATGATCTCGGTACGATATGTGAAGAATTTATTCATGCCTTTGCAATAGGTTTACAACTCATTGGATTCTATTGCCGGACTCAAAACAAGCCTGAAATTACCGCAAAAATGATTGATGCATCTCAAAAATAATTGTTAACTTTGAAGTCAATTTCCCTCCTAGAAAGGTATTTTATACTAAACAAAACAACCAGTGGATAAGCCAGAACGTAAAACTGTTAAGCCGAAAACTGAAAGATCATTTTCCAAGATCTCTTCTAGATTCTGGACTGCCAAAAAGCAACATGAGAAATTGGTAACTAATACAAAAAGAGAATATCTTCGGAATACGTAAAACAGGGTGAGCCATTTAAAGTGGAAGCATTTGTTTATAAAAAAAATACATTAAAAAATATTTTTTGTTATTAATTTGAAGTCTTTTATTTTGATCCAAGGAGATTTGTTGTAATTACTTTTAAAAAATGATATCGCGCAAATGGCCACCTCTGGCCTTGATAACCAAATGTGCCCTTTTTCGGCGTTTTTCATCACGTTGGCCAATGTTTCAGCGGATATGGCAGCAATTTCGCTGATGACCTTAAAATCTGCACGTCAGTCAAGACAGTCGAGGATTGCGTCATGTTGCAAGATGACTTAGCTCTAATTTCGTTATGGTGTTCACGAAACTGTCTCAGTCTGAATGTTTCGAAATGTAAAGTTATGACTTATACAAGAAAGGTTAACTATTTAATTTATGATAATTATAACATCAATGGTCAGGTTATAGACAGATGCACCTCTTATAGAGACCTTGGAGTCACTTTTGATACCAAGCTAACGTTTACTGAGCATATGCTCAATATCTCGCCGGCTGCCACTCGACTACTTGGTTTCTGTATCAGAAACTGGAAGGGTTTCTCCAATGTTGATACATTAATGACTTTATTTTTTACTTTTGTCAGGAGCAAGTTGGAGTATGCGACTCTGATCTGGTCTCTTATATACCAAAATTCTGTCGTGATCCTTGAGGCCATTCAACGTAAAGCTTTAAACTATTTTCACCTTAAACGCACAGGTTCTTATCCAGAAAGAGGTTGTGACCATAGTGCCCTATTAGAGTTTTTCGATTTGGATTCACTGTCACCAAGACTAAACATATTTGCTTTGTCGTTTTTGTATGGCCTCATTCACAATAAAATTGACTGGCAAAATTTACTTGAAAAAACATGTTTCCGCGTTCCAAGGCTAGGGAGTCGACAACAAACGGCATTCTATTGACAAGCTGGCCGTACAAATGTTATGACAAAATCGCCAATTAATCTCATGTGCTGCGTCATGAACAGTGTTACCGAATCGTGTGATATTTACAGTGACAGTTGTGCATCGATTATTAACTGCTATAGATCATCCAATCTTATTTAGAATGTGTGATACTATAGAACCATGTCACTTTAATTGTTATTTTTTTCAGCATTTCCTGTAATAGGGTTGCACCTGTTGGAAATAAATAAATAAATAAATAAAACAAAATAAAATAAAAATAAAATAAATTTCTTGAGAAATATTGTTCTTGAGGGCAGCTAGAGTCCTTGGCTTGTTAGCGTATATAGCCCCACAAATAAAACTCTGGTGGCGTCAAAGCAGGTGAACTCGTTGGCCAGTCAAAATCTCCATTCTTCGATATCAGTCGTCCAGCGAACAATGGTGGCAACAAATTGATTGTTGCTTGAGCTGTGTGGCATGTGGCGCTGCTGGAACCAGTAATCGTCCATGTCATTTTCATAAACAATTAGCCTCAAAAAAATTGACGGACGGACCATTGACGGTTACCGCATCATTGCCTTCAAAAGAATACGGCCCGATGACCATATTCGCGCACATACCGCACCAAACAGTAACTTTTTGGTCATAAAGAGGCTGCTGTTCGATTGATTGAGGGTTTTCGTTAGCATGAAACCATCAATTTTGTTTACTTACGCCTTCATGTATCGAAAAATGTGCCTTGTCGGACATGATGATATTTCGCCAAAAGTCATCTTCCTTTTCAGCCATTTCAAGGCTCCATTTAGCAAAATCAATGCGACACGGATAATCCGGTGGGTTTAATTGACGAGCCATTTGAGTTTTGTATGGAAAAATCTTGGAATCCTTACGAATTATGCGTCGGAGAATGGTTCGAGCGATGCCTAACTCTTGAGTACGATGACGACCGGATGTTGATGGAGTATCTTCAACACTGGCTCGTACGGCTCCGATATTTTCATCGGAACGTCTTGTTCGTTGTCTGGGTAGGTGACTGGCATTACTAAGACTACCGATGTTCACAAATTTAATAAACGTATAATAGTTATCAGCTCGAGCATTTTTAACTTTATTTTTTTTACAAAATGCCCGTTTATTTTTCCTGATTAAGAAGTTATACTAAGTGACATATAAATCCGAACACCCAGTTTTATTGGTTTTATTTTAATAAAAGTTGGTGAATGTATTTATCTTACTGTAAATAACAAGTGAAAAAATTTTCAGCCTTATCAGTTGGACATTCCGGTTTTTATACTGCTTTTTTTTAATTCACTAACGCTCTAAAAATGGATATTTCAGCCGCAGTAAAGAATCAACGTTGGCGGATTTTGGTTCTTGACATCCTTTACGATCGGTTACGATGCCTAGAGTACGGAGACCTGTACGATTTCGTCAACTTAGTGAGTTTGATAGGGGCCGTATAGTGGGACTTCGGGAAGCTGGACTTTCTTTTCGGGCAATTGCAGTTAGAGTGCAAAGAAGTGTAGACACTGTGGCTAGGTGTTGTCAGGCATGGCTTCGAGAAGGCCGTACGCAAAGAGCAAGGGGCACTGGACGCCGCCGTAGAACAACAGACCGTGAAGATCGCCGCCCAAGATTGTTGGCCTTAAGGGACCGTTTCTCCACTACCAGGTCCATTGCAAATGAATGGTTTGCAGAACACGGAAGACCTATTGGCATGCGAAGTGTTTACCGACGAATGAGAAGTTTTGGCTTGTTTTCATACCTGCCACACTGGGTCCTCCCTTTAACTCGAGAACACCGACGTAATCGCCTTGAGTGGTGCAGACAACGGTCACTCTGGGATCAGGAATGGAACAGTATTGTCTTTAGTGACGAGTCTCGATTTTGTTTAGGCATGCACGATGGTCGTGCCATGGTTAGAAGGCGACGTGGTCAAAGGAGGAATCCACAGTTTTTTGTTGAAAGACATGTTCATCACACTGTTGGAGTTATGGTTTGGGGTGCTATAGCTTATGGTTCCAGGTCACTTTTAATCTTCATCAGAGGTAACATGAACCCCCAACTTATCCCCAATTGAGCACGTGTGGGATATGATGGGTAGGAGATTGCTCAATTTGCAACGTCCTCCTCAGACTCTAGAAGCACTTGATCAGAAGCACGCCTAGGCGCGTTGGAGAATGCGTAGCACATCAGGGTGCATCCACACATTATTAAAGGTCAAAGGGCTTTAAAGCAGTGTAATCATTTTGAAATTTTTATCATTTACTTATTATGCTTCATTAAGTACTTATACAAAATTTTATTAAAATAAAACCATTTAAACTGGGTGTTCGGATTTATATGTCATTTAGTATATTTTGAATGTACAACTGAATAATTTCAGCGCGTTGTTTCGGTGTGTACTGTTCCATGGTTATAATTGTACTGAAATGATGCTTCCAACGCGGTATGACATTAGTCGATCTGACAACTAATGTCAAAGATGTAGGGTTGCTTGATGCTTCCACTTTAAATGGCCCACCTTGTACTTGAACGGCCCTTGTCTACGATTTCGTGAATCAAAACAAATCGCAAACTTGCCGCTTCTATCTGGTCCACATTCATTGTCCTAACAGAGCAATAATTTTCCTATTGCAGGCGATTGAATATCCACTTTGCGAGTGCAGGATGTTCGAAGCGACCATTGCATAATTTAGCCGACATTGATGGGTCAAATGGCAGAGTCTCCAACTCGGCGAATGGGGCCCCCAAAGGGCCTCGGGGACTCCCGGGCCTCCCACGTCAACGGGACGTAGGACACGTTAATCTAGCTTTCGATCACACTGAGGGGTGAGTTAAGAATAGATGTGCAATGTACCAGGACGCTTCTTGAATTATAGATATATTTGAAACTCATCCAATGTTGCCACGTAGGTGGACAACAATACACGTATACCTTCTAGGTTCGAATGATAATTCAATCTTGATATGTCAGCATTTCTCATCCATTCGGCTTATTTTTTCCAACAAGAGAAACACAGGGTCGTACCAACCACCGTATAAGCTGTATCAGCGATACGGCATCAGTATTACGTAACTTAAAAAGTAACTATATGGATTTTTATGATAATATTCCAATCACAACTAACTTTTCTGTTAACTATAACCAGGCAGTTAACTTGTAGTTGGCTGTAAATGCGTTTTTCGTGTATTTTGACAGAGACACTTAGAAGTTCATGTATTCATACAGGGTGTTTCAGTTTATTGTTGCATAACTTTAAGATTCGATAGAACTTTTAAAACTAATGCATAAAGTCTACATAATATATAAACATGGGTCGAAAAATGCGTGGCTTCCGAAATACAGGGTGTTTAAATTTACTTTCTAAAATAGTTTTTTTTAAATATTTCGAACAATATTTGCTGTATAACAGTGAAAATTGGTATACAAGGGGTTTTTGGTACGACAAAACGAACCAAGGGCATAGTTTTACTGTAGCCGCTAGAGGGCGCTCTCTACTGTACCTGTAGTGTATTAAAATGACCGAAACTTTTTTCTTAGTGCAATTTTTTGCTTTTTGAATAAAAAAACTGATTCTTCGCACTTTTCATCATAGAAAAGCCCTCCTGTGAGTTTTCGTTATAGTTAGCCGTTTTGAGATATTTCGATTTTTAAGGTTCGATGCATTTTTAATTATTTATGGGAAAATAATATTTTTTTAAACATTTTCGATTTGGGCATTACAAGTAATTAAGATGATCGTTTAGATTGTGTTTTTAAACACAGCAATAATTCCTAACTCCAAATAAACACAAAAAAACAGAATATTAATTTGTTTAATTTTCAAATATTATTTTTAACAAATTAAATTAATTATTTACAACTAAAATGCTATTGGATAGTTAGGACAAACATACAAAATCTAAAGTAGTTGCTCGAAATGTAAACCCAATTGTTCAATACACAATTCACACCTACGAATGATCGAACGTGGTATAGCATTATTCAAATAAGGCCTTATTTCATCACATGCATTCCTGATTCTGTCTATTAGCATATATCTTGTGGTTACGGGAGTCTGGTACACTTTTTCTTTTAGAAATCCCCACACAAAGAAATCTAATGGATTTAGGTCAGGGGATCGTGGAGGCCAGGCGACTGGTCCTCCACGGCCGATCCATCTTTCTGGATAATTTTCGTCCAGCCAGTTTTTAACTATTCTACAACAATGAGCTGGACAACCATCAAGCTGGAACCAGGCTAATCTTCTTAAATCTAACATAACATCATCCCAAATATTTGCATGTTCAGCCTTTAAAAATTCCAAGAAGGTCGCAGCATTTAACCTTGCAAGCAAAAGGTAGTGCCCAAATAGTCGATTACGGTAGATACCAATCCACTCGTTCACACTAAATTCATGCTGAACATTTTTCTCCTGAACTGCATGCGGATTTTCATGCGACCAAACATGTTGATTATGAAAATTTACCACTCCACGTCTAGTGAAGCATGACTCATCGGTCCATAAAACGTTACTTAAAAACTCCCTATTATTATCAGTTCTATCATGAATCCACTGACAAAATGTGATTCTTCGTTCTCCGTCCCCTGGCAGTAGTCCTTGCACAGGTTGCAAATGGTAGGGACGTCTATGGTCATTTCTAAGAACACGGTGAACATGGTTTGCTGAAATTCCCAAGGCACCAGAAACTCTCCTAACACTTGTGGTCGGATCTCTATCAAACTCACGCAGAATCATACTGGTAAATCTGCGCTGACGAACATTTATGTTGTGATCCCTTTGGATATTTTCAAAACCATTTTCAATTATTTGGCGATGCACTCTTACAAATACTGAGCGAGTTGGATGTCGTCTGTTTGGAAATCTTCGTGCGTATTCTCTGGCTGCTTCTGCTGCGTTTCCATTTACAAAGCCATGCACAAAATGAATATCCGCTAACTCTTGATATAAAATGGCATTTTTATAAAACTTACAAAAAAACAGGTAAAAGAAACTAAATTTCGTGCATTCACAATTGCAAAAAAACGTTTCAAGTTTCAACAGACAACAAAACTAACTGTCAACTAATTGACGTTTAACCTTACTCTGCTTTCAATTTCAAAAATATTTGCAGGCACTGCCTACTTCTAAAAATTATCGAGATACTGACTTTTTAACGTTATTTTATCATAAATAATTAAAAATGCATCGATCCTTAAAAATCGAAATATCTCAAAAACGGCTAACTATAACGAAAATTCACAGAGAGCTTTTTTATGTTGAAAAGTGCGAAGAATCAGGTTTTTTATTCAAAAAGTGAAAAATTGCACTAAGAAAAAAATTTCGGTCATTTTAATACACTACAGGTACAGTAGAGAGCGCCCTCTAGCGGCTACAGTAAAACTATGCTCATGGTTCGTTTTGTCGTACCAGAAAAACCCTTGTATACCAATTTTCACTGTTATACATCAAATATTGTTCGAAATATTTTAAAAAAAACTATTTTAGAAAGTAAATTTAAACACCCTGTATTTCGACCCATGTTTATATAGACTTTATGCATTAATTTTAAAAGTTCTATCGGATCTTAAAGTTATGCAACAATAAACTGAAACACCCTGTATATTCGCCACAATTCGATGAGGTCCCCGACAAATTATAATTGGAGGTCCCTCAAGCGAAAACACTTGCCCATTTGGAGGTCAAGAAAGGTCATATGCCACCTCCCTGGCTTCAGCTTAAGAAGTAAGATGTACGTGCTTCTGGACTACCTCGAACGTCACAGCTTGATTAGCGACAGGCAGTACGGTTTCCGGCACCAACGATCCACAGGGGACCTCCTAGCTTACGTCACGCAACTGTGGAGTAAACTCATCCAGTCTCATAGTGAGGCTCATGTCGTTGCTCTTGACATCACGAAAGCGTTCGATCAGCTGTGGCACGCTGCCCTCTTAAGCAAACTTCCATCCTACGGCCTCCCAGAAAAGCTTTGCAGATGGGTGGCTGATTTTATCTCTGGCCGCAAGATATCCGTCGTAATTGACGGATTCTCCTCTTCATCCCACAACGTCAACGCGGGTGTTCCCCAGGGATCGGTCTTGGCTCCAACACTGTTTCTCTTATATATCAACGACCTCCTTTCCTGCACGATCAACCCAATCCACAGCTTCGCTGATGACAGCACTCTACATGCAGGAATTCAGAGTGACAAGCCGATCTCTGCCGCTGAGCTGAAAAAAAGAAGACTAGCGACGACTTCTTCTCTGACAAGAGACCTGGAGGCTATCACTGCTTGGGGACGCAACAATCTTGTACAGTTCAATGCTTCCAAAACACAGTACTGTACTTTGTCGAACAAAAAGCGTCCTAGCGCTCATACAGTTTCGATGGACGGTCGAGTTCTACCAAAGAGCCATTCATTTTGGCTGGTCGGAGTCCAGATCGCCGAGGACCTGATCTGGCACGAACACATCTCTTTAATAGCTGCAGCTGCTGGGAAAAAGCTAGGCTATTTGTTTAGGGCTAAGAAGTACTTTTCTCCGCATGACCTTCTCACTCTATACAAGGCCCAGATAAGGCCTAGCCTCGAGTATTGCTCACACATTTGGGGTGCTGCCGCCCCGACTACATTGTCCATGCTCGATGCTGTCCAGAGGAGGGCGGTCCGACTGATCGATGACTCTTACCTAACAGACAGTCTCGGGACTCTTTCGCACCGGCGGGCCGTCGGCGACCTAGCTCTTTTCTATCGCTACACCAACGGGCTTTGCTCCTCAGAGCTCTCTTCCATGATGCCGCCGCGCGATGTGCCTGCCAGACAGACTCGCCTGACTTCGGCGTCCCATCCTAACCGTGTCAAACTTCGTACATCCAGAACTGGCCGATACGACCGCTCCTGTGTCCCGAGGGTGTCTAGATTGTGGAATAATCTACGGGAGGAAGCTTTTCCCAGTTCTACTAACCTTAGGCAGTTCCAAAATCGTATTAACAAAATTTCTTTGGGATCATCATAGCAGCCGCGGTGTTCCGGCATTTAGGCTTCTACCTGCGCGGCTGTTTCGATATAAAAAAAAAAAATAAGTAGTAAGGTACCCGATTCTTGAGTAGCGAGTGGCGTGTGTGCTTTTTTGGTCTTCAAAAAATTACTTTGCATTAAGAAAGAAACATGTACATTTAAAAAAAATGCAAACAGTGACTGAAAAGAGTGAATAATCAATTGTGCTATCAAGACGAATCTAGGAAGTCACAAGAAAGTTGATGTTTGCGTTTAAAATCCTCGATTTCTAATAGTAAATTTTAGTATAGCTACTCGCATTTTCAAGACAGCTAAATACACCTCATATGTCAGAATCCATCAAGCGGTTTAAGCTATAGCCCGTAAAATAGGAATTTAAACGACTATATTTTTTATTAAAATACACCAATTTTATTTTATAAAATTTTAGTATACCCAGTAATCATAACATCGTGCGTCCTTGGCAGTGTTCTTTTTTTCTGAAACTATTAGACACAAACTATGTCGCAAATGATAATTAAATACTAATTTTTGTCGTTGGTATACTTTTTATTGAAATATCTTTTTTTATCATGTAAAACAAAAATAAAATCTTCAAAAACAACATTCTTGGATAGCTGCTACGAGCTGCTGCATTAAAGCGAAGATATTCTCTGTCTTAAAGATAAATACTTGATTTGACCTGATGCAATGCATACCGCGGATGAAAATACTTTCGGTGTTTTTGAATAGGCTATTCAAAGTCAATTACAAATTTGCTTGCATCCAGTTACGGGCATACTCAACAGGGGCAAAAGGCCCAATAAACAATCTACATACTATACAAAACTGAAAATATCATAGATCACAGCACGCCCCAATCCTGCTTGATCAAGTCAGCCCCTCTTTCTCCAACCACATACGCAGGTTCGACAGTGTGCGCAGTCACAGGCAATGGAATGATACTGGTGTCAGCCACGCGCAAGTTCTTTATTCCATGCACCCGAAGTCTTGAGTCAACCACGGCTTCTTTGTCTTCACGCGGACCCATTTTACAAGTGCCCACTTGGTGATACAGACTGCCTATAAGAGTGCGTAGACCACATTCCCAGTATGCGTCTGAGTCGAAAGCGTAATGCTCACACCCTAGAAAGATGAAGAAATGTCACAACAATCTTCATTGTATCCATGTTTTAGTTCAGCATCTGCCATGTTATGCACCTCTAATTTCAATTCGTGCAAGTATCCACTTCCTGATCCAACAAAGCATTTTTTATCTGTTCACGTGACTCTCAATCATTCACCACTAAAATGTGACCTCAAAAGAGCACAACTATCAACCAGAACCTTCTTTATTGTTAGCTTCATGTAGTAAACTAAATCGTGATCGCGTGAACTGACGACTATCCCCGCTCACGACAAGAGTCGTGAAAGACAGATCGGATGCACTCAACTCACAATGAAGCTTAACTTGATTTGACTTTGTCAACGATTTCAATAGTATTAGCCATATAAGAGCTGTACCTGGTCCAACTCCAAGTTAGAGCAAATCATAACAAACACTGTCTCGTGATCACTCAGCAACAGGTGAACCGGCCACCGCTCATTGGTGAGTTCGATGTGGATCGCTTGGTTCGTCGCTCGCAGAGTTGCAGTCAGGTGTTCACCTGTCGTGTAGTGTGTGATATTGCAGCAATATGATCATGTCTAATACTTCAGCCTTTGAATATCATTTGTCTTTACGCAAATGTAGTTAATTAAACTTAGTACGCGTAAGTAATAGGTATAAAACCGTTCTTAAGTTTAAATTAATAGCATTTACTTAACTAAGCTTAGTTAACTAAATTTAGTTAATTAAATTTAGTACGCGTAAGTTATAAGTATAAAAGTGTTCTTAAACTTAAATTAATAGGATTTAGTTAACTAGGCTTAGCTAAATTTAGTTGGTTAAATTTAGTGACGCGTAAGTAATTAGTATAAAAGCGTTCTTAAATTTAAATTAATAGGATTTAGTTAACTACGCTTAGTTAACTGAATTCAGTTAATAAAATTTAGAACGCGTAGGTGTAAGTATAAAAGCATTCTTATGTTTAAATTAATAGAATTTAGCTGACTACGCTTAGTTAACTGAATTCAGTTAATAAAATTTAGAACGCGTAGGTGTAAGTATAAAAGCATTCTTATGTTTAAATTAATAGAATTTAGCTGACTACGCTTAGTTAACTGAATTTAGTTAATCAAATTTAGTATGCGTAGGTAATACGTATAAAAGTGTTTCTAAATTTAAATTAATAGGATTTAGTTAAGTAGGATTAGTTAAGTAAATTTAGTTGATTAAATTTAGTGACGCGTGAGTAATAAGTTCTTAAATTTAAATTAAAAGGATTTAGTTAACTATTATTAGTTGAACTAAGCTTAGTTATCTAAATTTAGTTAATTAAATTTAGTACGCGTAAGTAATAAGTATAAATGCGTTCTTAAATTTAAATTAATAGGATTTAATTAACTAGACTTAGTTAAGTAAATTTAGTTGATTAAATTTAGTGACGCCTGAGTAATAAGTTCTTAAATTTAAATTAATTGGATTTAGTTAACTAGGCGTAGTTAATTAAATTTAGTGACGCGTAAGTAATAAGTATAAAGGCGTTCTTAAATTTAAATTAATAGGATGCAGTTTTGCATGACTATGTTTACATTGACTCTATCTTGGATTTAGGAAAACGATAGACGATCTCGTTGGTCATTTTATATTACCTGGTATTGGTGTATCCACAATCGTAGCTCCAAACTTCTGCATTGCAGGAAATTCTACTATTCTCTGTATCTCTCTTATACCAGCAATCATATTCTCAATATCGATGTGTTCTGGATCAGAAAAATAGTTGAGATAAAACTTCGGTGGATCAAAAGGATTGCTCGACCGTAGCTTCATATAACCTTTTGATTTTGGATGAAATAGCATTGGAAATACCTGAAATATATTAATATGAAAAAGATGACTAAGACTAAATCTTTGACTTTAAAACCAGTATTATTAAAATTGTTATTATATCTCTTAGCGCGATAACGAAGGAAAAACGTAAACTCTAAAAATGGAACAGACAACCTAGCTCTCAAATTAATAACAAAAAGTTCGAACTTGAGCAGTAGTTACCTGAAAAGTTTGTTTTCCTTCTAAAGGTTTCCACATTACGTCGTATGTAGCTCTTGGAATATTAAGTAGTCTCCTTAGAATAACTCCATGATCTACACTGAGGGAACCACCTATGAAAATTAGCTCAACATCTGGCAATCTTGGATCTGAGTCATCTGATATATTTGTATTTATGAACGTTAGTGCTTCTACACCACCTATAATTTAATACATATATTATTGGACCATAAAATAGTACTTTAAGAGAGAAATGGGGAAATCCCGAGATAGTGCTCAATTTTGATAGTTACATGAAGCTTTTGGAAGCGTGTGTAGTCTAAGCACAGCCGACGTCAACTACGAGCCGTGAACAATGAAATCTGGCAACGTAGGTGGTAGTGTTACTCCCGCCGCTGCTTGCTGCATCGACGCAACTCGTGCTCAAAACGCTGAGAAAACATAACCTTTTCAATTTGTGATTTGGGAATCCCAGAGGCTGTAATTAAGAGATAAGCTTGTTTTCTAAGATTCAAAGTGTGTGTATGTGTTCAAAGTGATCAGTGACTATAATATATGAGAAATAGACTCCAGTTGTAGTGCTTCTGTGCTTTAAAAATAAACTAAGAAGTGTGACTGTGGCTGTTCGCGCCTCAGGACGCTAAGGATTTCAACTATTGAAAACGTGCAAATTCAGGTTGTATTTTTCTTTTTTCATTTATCAAGTATTTGACGCAGACAATATGCCTCGTTGTTGCTGTGTTCCTTTATGCAATGCAAACTATAATTCTGCTTTGAAAACGGAAAGTTATGTTTCAACTTTTCGCTTCCCAAGTACCGAAAGTCTGAAAAACAAATGGCTTATGGCAATTCCCAGAAAAAATTGGACACCTTCAAATTATTCAGCTGTGTGCAGTCGTCATTTTAGAGAATCGGATATCATCAGGACAGAAAATATAGTTTTGGCGGATGGAACAGTCCAAAATAATATACCTTTGAAATATCCAAAATTGAAAGAAAATGCTGTTCCCTCCATTTTCCCAAACTTGCCATCATATCTTTCAAAAACTGAAGCACCCAAAAGAACTGACCCAATGCAATGAAAACAAAAATTAATTGAGAAACGTGAAAAAGCTATCCAGAATTTCGATGATATGGATAAGATCAAAGACTTTCAAGAATTACATTCTTCATTTTCAAAAATTAAAGCCTCACAGAAATGGAATAATAAATTATCTGATGGAAAGCTATATTTTTATAAATTGGATTTTGAAAATGATATCTTAACTTTGAATACACAGATTATAGTTGATGGTCAGATGGAAGTTCAGGTTGTTCATAAAGGATGTAAGCTTTCTTTTAGTGACTTGAAGTGGGTTTTGCCATATGATCTCAAAATTACCAGATGGTCCCAATTAGAAAACCTGCTAAATAGGTATTTTTTCTATTTTTCTGAGAACCAACACAAAAACTCTGTTGAAGTTTGCATCATGAATGCATTGGAACAACTTGACAAAGCGATTTCCATAATTAATAATGACTCAGTTATGTTTCCATATACAAAAAATCTAGAGATTATTGCTGATCAGCTGAGACAAATTCAAAACAGGAAAAACAGATATGCATCACTTTCAATAATAATGGCTTTCACGTTTTATAACCACTCATCATCAACATATAATTTAATTAAAAGATTTTTTATTTTGCCAATTAAGCGATACTTACAACATATCTCCTCAAGTATGGATATATCTCCAAAAAATGGTAGGAATAATGAACACTACCTTTCGAATATAGCAATTAAATTAGCTCCGAGAGAAAAAATTGTAATTTTGATGATCGATGAAATTTATATAACATCTAGGCTGGACTATCGCTCACAAAACATTGTTGGGTATGCCTCAAATAAAAATGACATGGCTAAAACTGTTTTAGCCTTCATGCTATCTTCAGCATTTGGAAACATAACAGAAATTATCAAATTACTACCAGTTTCAAATCTAACAGGTGATGAAATGACACCTTTGGTTGAACATGTGATAAATTTAGTTCAAAAATGTGGATTTGAAGTTATTTGTGTTGTTACTGATAATCACCGAATTAATAGAGCAATGTTCAGGAAATTAGCAAAGGATTCATCAGAAAATTATTCTATTCCAAATCCACATAATCCTGATAAGAACATATATTTAACTTATGATGTTGTGCATATTTTCAAGAGTATCAGAAATAATTGGATTAATTTAAAACACCTAGACAAAACTTTTGTATATCCTAATTTTGACAATAATGATATTATTCAGTATGCTAAATTTGAAAACATTCGTGCTGTATATCAATCGGAAAAAGAAGCTGTAGTTAAAAAAGCATATAAATTATACTATAAAACATTGCATCCAAATTCATTTGAAAGGCAAAATGTAAATTTTGTAGATAATTTATTCCATCACTCAACAGTAGCTGCTATGAAAGTATTAAAGTTTAATGATGCTGCACACTTTTTGGAAATAATCAGGAGTTGGTGGGATATTGTCAGTAATACAAGTGTAATAAAAGGAGAATTGAAGCGAAACGAATTTTGTAAGCCAATAAATATGATTATAGAGTACAATTTTTATAAAAATTCCTGATATGGTTAGAAAAATGGCATAATCTAGAGAATAATAATGAATACCTGACACCAGAAACGTATACAGCTCTATATCAAAGCACGCTGACTCTACTTAATATAATTGAATATTCATTTAATCAATTTGACATTGAGTATGTATTGCCTGGAAAATTCACCACTGATAATTTAGAAAAACGATTTGGCAATTATAGACTTTTATGTGGCTGCAATTACAATGTGTCATATGATGAAATTTTAAATGCTGAAAAGAAAATACGGCTGAAGCATATTTTCAATGAAAAGAAATCGTCATTTTCTTTAGCAGAAATTAAAACAAGGTTCCAAAACTGCTTAGAAACTCAAGAAAATTTTATTTCTTGGATGACAAACAAAATCCCGAAGTTTTGGATATATTCAATGAAGTATTTGAGACAAATTACTTAGCCAATTGTGACATAGAGGATAGTACTAAGACTTATATATCTGGATATGCTTCACACGCTATCTCTAAAAACCTAAACTGCGAGATATGCAAATCGCTAATAGTTAAAGAAAAAGGTTCATTAACAACAAATGTTTATTTTGATCATTTGCAAAGAGGAGGACTGTCAATTCCAACCAGTTATGTACCAATCATATTCTACCATATGTATGCCATTTTTGAATCTATTATTAATGTAGATAGATTGGAAATTTTCTTCTTGAAAAGCAATAATCAAAAATTTATTTTGTGTCAGTTAACCTTGCTCAGCATTCAGTCTTTATATACAGTGAATTTTCTTTAACTTGCATCTGTGGCCGCAATTATGCAGATATTTTATCTCAGCTTTTGTCTATTTTTTCAAACATAATTTTGAATGATTATGTAAAATTGAAAAATAACAGTAAAACTGAAAGTAAATGTATTAAAAACAAACAGGTAACTCCACATTTCCAAGCTGGGCCTGTTGGAACACAGTGTGCTGACACCAAAAAACGTAAACTAAATACTTTTAATTAGGTTAACTGCATTAGCGACTCATATATATCACGATTATTTCGTATTTTTAAATTTTTTAGAGCTATTTCATATTCAGATGCGCCCGAGCGCGGTGTTGCCTTTCTTTCATCACGGCTCGTAGTTGACGTCGGCTGTGGTCTAAGTCTTAGTTTCAATTTGAAGCTACGAATGCTATGATTAGTACTTCTTTAGAATAAAATTTGTGGTAAACGAAGTATTGGCAAAAAATAATGCCTTGTTAAGGAATCTAAGAGCATGATTTGAATTCACCTCCACTCAACTGTTTCGTGCCGCAAGCTCAAAGATCAAGGTAGCATTAATTATAGCAAACCATCGTAGCGGAGATGACAGGGAATGGAAAAGAAATCGTAGAACAGTCATGTGCAACTATATTGATCCTTAGCTTGTACATTTCCCATACAAGATTCTTGTATGATTCTGAGATCGTTCACGTATTATGGGGGAATGTTTAAACCATAACTCACCAATGACCGTTAAGGGCCCAGAACCTCTCTGAAGATATTCAACGTACGAATCAGGATCTAGTATAGTACTTTTGAGATCTAAGACAATACTCTCGTTCACAGTGAATATAATACCGGCAAATACAGGATGATCATACAGTGTTTCACCAACCGGAAGGTCTTTGATTACTGGTATGCCTATAATATAAAAGCTCCGGTTTTTTCATCAGAATGTATTTTCACTTCAGTATGTCCTACCAACTTCCTGCAGATGGTTCTTCGGTCCAATCCCCGACAACATCAACAATTGAGGCGAATTGAAGCCACCAGCAGATACAATGACCTCTTTTCTAGCAACTGCTTTGTATTTTTTGCCGTTTCGTACAAATTCGACACCATAAGCTTTATTTGATCCAGGCTCTATGAGAACCTTTGTCACTTGGGATCCAGTTCGTATGAACAGATTTGTCCTGTTTCGAATAGGACGAAGAAATGCACTTTCTGCGCTCACCCTTTTTCCTCCCTTGGTGGTCGTCTGTACGTAGGATACCTAGAATAGAAAAGCTTCCCTCAACATTTATTGTCAATAGAAATTGGAGGTTAAGATATAATCTTCTGGTGAACTTTCAAGCCAGTTGTTCAAAGGTGTCGATTGGGAGAATGAATTTGGGCACTACCCTTAAAGGCGACGTCTAGGAGACTTTGTTAGGAACAGCTCAAATTTGTTCTAGGTAGATCGGTTCTTCCTTTTTAGAAAAAATAATTCGTATGTGAGTGCACATTCGCGGACGACCTGTTATTGTGCGCTAATACCCCAAAAGACTTACAAGATAACCTTAAAATCTGGATCCAGGAATTATCGAAGAGAAGTTTGAATATTAACGTATCTAAAACAAAAGTGATGACGACAGCAGAGGGTAATGGAATGAATATAGTTATTAAGGGCGCACGTATAGAACAAGTCGAAGCTTTCAAATATCTAGGAGTGGTAGTACAAGGCGATGGAACAATGGAAGAGGAAATCAACGAAAGATTAATGAACGCATCTAGACTCTATCACACATTGAAAACATCTTTCTTAAGGAAGAAAATGATAACCAGAAAAACAAAATGACCGTGTACAGAACAGTATTCAGACCCATATTGATATTCGGAAGTGAGAGCTGGGTATTAACGAACAGGCAAAAAATCAAGTTACAGGCTATTGATATGAAATACCTCAGGGCAGTCAGAGTCACTAGGAAAGACAAAATTAGAAACGAAGTTATTAGAGAAGAGCTGGGAGTAGAATCTGTACTACAAAGGATTGAAGAAAACCAATTAAAATGGTTTGGGCATTTAGTAAGGATGAAGGATACAAGGCCGTTAAATTCATATGGGAAGCGAGGAATACGTGGAATGATGGATTGGCGAAAATACTCAAGAACAGGGGAATAAGTTGGAAGGAAGCACTGTGCCGGGCGAGAAATAAGAAAGCCTGGGCTAAATTTGTATATAACAACTAATTAGTTTAGATTATGAAATAATGTAATTGCACCTTACACCTACGGGTATATAGGTTTTAGATAATATATATATATATATATATATATACTAAGTGACATATAAATCCGAACACCCAGTTTAAATGGTTTTATTTTAATAAAATTTTGTATAAGTACTTAATGAAGCATAATAAGTAAATGATAAAAATTTCAAAATGATTGCACTGCTTTAAAGCCCTTTGACCTTTAATAATGTGTGGATGCACCCTGATGTGCTACGCATTCTCCAACGCGCCTAGGCATGCTTCTGATCAGGTGGTCAATGTCCTCCTGTGGTATCTCATTCCAGGCAACCACCAACTCCTCTCGAAGTGCTTCTAGGGGAAGGAGGACGTTGCAAATTGAGCAATCTCCTATCCATCATATCCCACACGTGCTCAATTGGGGATAAGTCGGGAGATCTTGGTGGCCATGGTAACAATGTAACATCATTATGTTGAAAGAAGTCTATTGTGACTCTTGCAACATGTGGTCGGGCATTATCTTGTTGGAAAGTTGGATCTGCCAGGGTGTCAAGATAGGATAAAAGATGGGGTTCTAGAACTTCTTGGATATAACGCTGCGCGTTCATGTTACCTCTGATGAAGATTAAAGGTGACCTAGAACCATAAGCTATAGCACCCCAAACCATAACTCCAACAGTGTGATGAACATGCCTTTCAACAAAAAACTGTGGATTCCTCCTTTCACCACGTCGCCTTCTAACCCTGGCACGACCATCGTGCATGCCTAAACAAAATCGAGACTCCTCACTAAAGACAATACTGTTCCATTCCTGATCCCAGAGTGACCGTTGTCTGCACCACTCAAGGCGATTACGTCGGTGTTCTCGAGTTAAAGGGAGGACCCAGTGTGGCCGGTATGAAAACAAGCCAAAACTTCTCATTCGTCGGTAAACACTTCGCAAGCCAATAGGTCTTCCGTGTTCTGCAAACCATTCATTTGCAATGGACCTGGTAGTGGAGAAACGGTCCCTTAAGGCCAATAATCTTAGGCGGCGATCTTCACGGTCTGTTGTTCTACGGCGGCGTCCAGTGCCCCTTGCTCTTTGCGTACGGCCTTCTCGAAGCCATGCCTGACAACACCTAACCACAGTGTCTACACTTCTTTGCACTCTAACTGCAATTGCCCGAAAAGAAAGTCCAGCTTCCCGAAGTCCCACTATATGGCCCCTATCAAACTCACTAAGTTGACGAAATCGTACAGGTCTCCGTACTCTATGCATCGTAACCGATCATAAAGGACGTCAAGAACCAAAATTCGCGTTGATTCTTTACTGCGGCTGAAATATTCATTTTTAGAGCGTTAGTGAATTAAAAAAAAGCAGTATAAAAACCGGAATGTCCAACTGATAAGGCTGAAAATTTTTTCACTTGTTATTTACAGTAAGATAAATACATTCACCAACTTTTATTAAAATAACACCATTTAAACTGGGTGTTCGGATTTATATGTCACTTAGTATATATATATATATATATAATTCGTAGGTGCAAATACTCAATTCGGAAGCGATCATGGCTTCAGTTACGATGCTCAAGTTACTAGCCACGTACTGGTAGAGACGGACTCAATAACGTCTGAGATGGTACCTGTTAGTAGTACGGGGTTTTGAAAGGTAAAATTTCCGCCTCTCGGTATAATACTTGAAGGAACCGAATTCAATCTGATTGTGAAAAATCCGTTTAACGCGGTTGATCAAATTTGAAGCAATGGGTTGATTGCATGGGCCTTGGTCCTGCTGTCAAATTGACTTAGGATTTAAAACCTGCACACCCAATTTATCTATGAAAAGAGATACTGTTCAGATCATAAGTCTTGTGAAAAAGCGTCATAGAAATTGGAGGTAGAAAATGAACCGATTTTTTTTTATATCGAAGCAACCGCGCAGGCACAATCCTAAATGCCGGAACACCGCGGCTGCTATGACGATCCCAAAGAAATTTTGTTATTACGATTTTTGAACTGCCTAAGGTTAGTAGAACTGGGAAAAGCTTCCTCTTGTAGATTGTTCCACAATCTTGACACCCTCGGGACAAAGGAGCGTTCGTATCGGCCAGTTCTGGATGTACGAAGTTCGACATGGTTAGGATGGGACGCCAAAGTCCGGCGGGTCTGTCTGGCAGGCACATCATGGAAGAGAGCTCTGAAGAGCAAAGCCCGTTCGTGTAGAGATGTAGAGAATGTCGTTGATATGTAGCCACCATGAGCTTTCGCGTCAAACTAAGGTCGGATTTGGGATCGACGTACCCTATTTAGCTCAGAAACGAGTGTTGGTCTAGATACCGGGCACGCTTATATTTTTAAAAAGTTTGTCATAGGAAACCTTTGGATATTTTAGAACTTTTAAGAAGAGACTTTCATTATCTTTTTCCGTTACTATAAGCGAATGATACTTAGGTGATTGAAGATGCTGAATCCAAATATGAAGTTCTAGGCTAGAAGTGTTGGCAACTCTGTTAATCCTACTATGGATGGTATTTTGCTTTTGTCCACATAAGGTTACCTGACTAGTGCTTCCATAATTCAGATAAAAGTGTTTCCTAATGGTCTGCTAGTATGAGATCAAATACGGATATGATCTTCATCTTACCCCAACTTGGCCTCTTCCGTTATAATCCACAAATCGGTGCCCGGCTTCTTGAGCAGCCTCTACGTAGGCATAAGCTGCTCTAGACCTATACGTCACATCACTGACTCCCAAATACCCGCCTTTTTTGTGATATCCAGCGTCTTTGTATCCCGTAATGTTAGCATCTTCGGCCGTCAAGAAGTATGGAAATATATCTTTGTAGGACCATCCTGGATTTCCCATCGCTTCCCATCTGTCGTAATCCAACTTGTTGCCCCTCATGTAGATCATGTAATTTATAACTGAGCTGCCACCAAGCGCCTTTCCGTGAGGAAGTTGCATTCTACCATCTATGCAACCTAAAATTTGAAAAGTAATGGAAAGCCCTAAATAAATTACATGGCATTTCCCCATGTAGTGTAAGGCTGCTTCAGCCAAGTTATTTGCTGATTGCTGCTCAGTTTCACGCGCATTTCCGGCGACAGTCCACTATGTCTGTCAATGCTGCTGATTAGTCTCCATGATTCAAACTAAACGAATATGATTGTACTAGAACCTCACTCAACTGGTTTGAAACATATTTAAACTATCAATCCCAAATTGTAAAATTATATATCAAGACATTATATTTCAGATAAATTAGATATAAGTACAGGGTTACCTCAAGGGCCAGTACTAGGTCCGATCTTATTCTTTTTATATATACTAAGTGACATATAAATCCGAACACCCAGTTTAAATGGTTTTATTTTAATAAAAGTTGGTGAATGTATTTATCTTACTGTAAATAACAAGTGAAAAAATGTTCAGCCTTATCAGTTGGACATTCCGGTTTTTATACTGCTTTTTTTTCACTAACGCTCTAAAAATGAATATTTCAGCCGCAGTAAAGAATCAACGTTGGCGGATTTTGGTTCATGACATCCTTTACGATCGGTTACGATGCCTAGAGTACGGAGACCTGTACGATTTCGTCAACTTAGTGAGTTTGATAGGGGCCGTATAGTGGGACTTCGGGAAGCTGGACTTTCTTTTCGGGCAATTGCAGTTAGAGTGCAAAGAAGTGTAGACACTGTGGTTAGGTGTTGTCAGGCATGGCTTCGAGAAGGCCGTACGCAAAGAGCAAGGGGCACTGGACGCCGCCGTAGAACAACAGACCGTGAAAATCGCCGCATAAGATTATTGGCCTTAAGGGACCGTTTCTCCACTACCAGGTCCATTGCAAATGAATGGTTTGCAGAACACGGAAGACCTAATGGCATGCGAAGTGTTTACCGACGAATGAGAAGTTTTGGCTTGTTTTCATACCGGCCACACTGGGTCCTCCCTTTAACTCTAGAACACCGACGTAATCGCCTAGAGTGGTGCAGACAACGGTCACTCTGGGATGAGGAATGGAACAGTATTGTCTTTAGTGACGAGTCTCGATTTTATTTAGGCATGCACGATGGTCGTGCCAGGGTTAGAAGGCGACGTGGTGAAAGGAGGAATCCACAGTTTTTTGTTGACACTGTGGGAGTTATGGTTTGGGGTGCTATAGCTTATGGTTCCAGGTCACCTTTAATCTTCATCAGAGGTAACGTGAACGCGCAGTGTTATATCCACGAAGTTCTAAAACCCCATATTTTACCCTATCTTGACACCCTGACAGATCCAACTTTCCAACAAGATAATGCCCGACCACATGTTGCAAGAGTCACAATAGACTTCTTTCAACATAATGATGTCACCATGGCCACCAAGATCTCCCGACTTATCCCCAATTGAGCACGTGTGGGATATGATGGGTAGGAGATTGCTCAATTTGCAACGTCCTCCTCAGACTCTAGAAGCACTTCGAGAGGAGTTGGTGGTTGCCTGGAATGAGATACCACAGGAGGACATTGACCACCTGATCAGAAGCATGCCTAGGCGCGTTGGAGAATGCGTAGCACATCAGGGTGCATCCACACATTATTAAAGGTCAAAGGGCTTTAAAGCAGTGCAATCATTTTGAAAGTTTTATCATTTACTTATTATGCTTCATTAAGTACTTATACAAAATTTTATTAAAATAAAACCATTTAAACTGGGATTCGGATTTATATGTCACTTAGTATATGAATGATTTAATAAACAAACATAATTGTTATATTCGAAGTTTTGGCTGACAATACCAGATTACTTTGGCAAGACACAGATATAAATGAAATCAAAACAAAAATTGATAGTGATATAGAATCAACCAAAAAATGGTAATAAGACAGAATTTATGAAATTTAAATGCTCCCTTGATTTTATAAACTCGAATAATGAGTCGATGCACAATACAAATTGCTTACTCAACCAGCAAAGATCTCCTTTATTAGAAGAACAATTAGTTACAACGTAGGGAAGAGCACAGCCTTAAGTAGTTTATTTACCTTATTTGCATTCCCTTCTGAGGTACCTCTTCCCAAAATTGTTTAGACAAAGTGCTTATTCAACAAAAATATCTACATGCGAGGCATTCTTAAATCTTAAAATAATAACTGTAGTTTCATTGTTTATTTTAGAAACAACAACTTTTATTTTTTTTAATTAATCTAAATTTGAGACATCAAATATAACTTATTAATTTATTAGGCGAAAACAAGATTTTAAATTAGTAGTACCTAAATCAACACTTGTGAAAGATTCAGTCATTCACAATGGTGATAAAATTGACATGTGCCCCCCTGACGATATCAAAAGAGTCAACAATTTACAGAAGTGAGTTCTACAATTAATTTTTATGAGATCCATATATGTAATTTAGTTTAGTTTTAAGTTAGCTTTGCCAGTAAGAATGATTGTATTCTTTTTTTTTTGTTGAAGTTTTATTTAGCATTAATGCTACAATGTCAATTTTATATAATTATTCGTTTACACATTTTTTTTAATATATTTTCTGTAATTTTACATTCTTGTCTATTAAAATTACATCACTATGGATTTCGAGTATTCATAAAGTGATTTTTTAATTTCATCTTAAGCATTTTTAAATTCGAACATTGTTTAATATCATTATTTAATTTATTGAATTCAAATACTCTCTTTTGGAGTACAGATTTGCTAGTTATGCTACTGTTACAATTTTGCAGATGAAAATCTATACTGCCTCTAGTTTCGTGGTTATGATAATGACTATTTAATGTGTATATGAAAATGAGAACTAAATAAGATTTTCAACATTCAACACTTGTGGTTCCTCTAACACAGACTTACTCGTAGCATATTTGTTTTCATTTAAAATGATTCTCATAGCTTTATTTTGTAGAGTTTGTAATTTTGAAGATAAGTTTTCAGTTACTGTAAACAAGATGGTATATGAATATAAAAAATAGGGAAAAATTATGGTTATGCACATTTTTTTTCGGAATGTATACTAAGATTGTGGGAAAATCTATAGAAGTGATTTATCTTTTTGAAATAATGTATTCGTAACGCTCATGAAACGGTAGTTGACTATCCACATATATACCCAGATTTTTAAATGATTCGACTACTTCAATTTTTTCACTAGTTTTATTAGTGTTTAATTTAAGTTTATTAACATTTAACCACTTTATAGCTTTTTAATACCACTATTTAACAATTTTATAATTTTATATATTTTGAACGCTTGATATCTACACCTATAGTCTCAAATGCCCTTTTGCAGTCTAAAAAACTGTTACAATACATTCTTACACCACCATTTGGAATCCAGCTTGATTTTTTGTGAACATTTTTTTTTCCTCCAGACAAAACATTTATCTATCTATTTACTGCGACAAAAAGAAATTACGATAAACTAAAACTTTAGTATGATATACGTGATACAGCTAATAATAATAATAATAATATTTATTCGCCAAAATACAAAAAATGGACAAATAAATATGAAAAAACCACAGAAGGCATCGCCTGTGTGTGGTTTATATCGTAATAACTAACAATCAATCATATATGTGTATAACAATTATTGTTAAATCTAAAAGGTATTAAGGTAATTGGAATTTTGTTGTTTTACTTTTCTATATAATTATGTATAGTCATTCGCTGCACATTACTAACCCAGTCTTTCAATTTTCTTCTAAATTTTTTTCCAAAATTAAGTATCTTTATTTCGTTTGGTACTACATTATATAATTTAGCTGCTAAGAATTTAAATGATTTTTTGAATAATGTTTTGTGTGGTCTTTGGATATTAGATGAGCCTATTCGAAATCGTGTGTTATGCTCGTGTTTATAGGATTTTTTCTTTTTATTACAATACTTATGGTATAAGGTGGTGGCATGTAAGAAATAAAGTTGTCTTGTATCAAGTATCCCTGTTTTTTGATATAAGTTGTTCGTTGGATATAATCTTGGCTTATGGAAAATGGCTTTCAAAACAGTTTTTTGTGCTATTCAGGTCAGAAATATATGTCTTGCAGGCGGCACCCCAGGCTGTGATGCCGTATATTATATGGGTTTCAACTAAGGCTTGGTATAGGATTCGCAGATAACTTTCTGTAAGAATGTTAGCAAGCATTTTGAGTTTATAGGCAACATTTCTATTTTTTTGATAACATATTTAATATGGTTATCCCACCTTAGATGTGAGTCTATATATATTCCAAGATATTTCAAAGTGTTAACTCTATCGATTTTGGTCTTTTGGTCATGATAATTAACGGAAATTTGTTCGAAGGTAGGTAAAAATTTTGAATAGGATGTAAATGCAATAAATTTTGTTTTTTTGAAGTTAACTGTTAAAAGTTTAGTATCCAACCAGTCAATGATCCTTATAAAATACTTTTCAGCTATTTGCTTCAATGTGCTCCAGTCATCAGCTTTATATAATACGAGGGTGTCATCTGCAAAACATATAATCTTTCCAGAACTGTTAATTTTGAATAAGTTATTTAAGTAGAGACTAAATAATAGTGGGCCTAGTACTGTTCCTTGAGGCACACCACACTTGATGTACATTTTTTTACTGTAAGTGTTAGTGATTTTGACAGTCTGTGCCCGGCTTGAAAGGTAATTTTTTAAAAGGATTTGTGATGCTCCCCTAAATCCCAATCTTTCCATAACTTTCAGAAGCTCAACATGGTTAACTGTATCAAAGGCTTTTTTTAGATCAACAAAGATACCAATAGTAGGTATCTTTTTGTTGACATTAGAGTTAATTTCATCCATTGCAGCCAAAATTGCATCTGTAGTAGATTTTCCTTTTCTAAATCCATATTGGTCAGAACATATAATTTTGTTTTTGTCCAAAAATTGTAATATCCTTTTTTGTAGTAATTTTTCGAAAATTTTGGCTATATTCGATAGTACTGATATCGGTCTATAATTTGATGTTTCCATTCTGTTACCGCTTTTATAAACAGGAGTAATAACAGTTGTTTTAAATGCATCAGGACAAATTCCAGATTGGAAACACCAATTAATGACGAAAGAAAGTGGTTCGGCTAAGTCGTAGGCTATTATTTTTGAATGGTCGGCTTTGATACCATCTAAACCAGGACTTTTTTTGGTTTTAAGTGATAGGACAGCTTCTTGTACTTCAATCGGACTAACGCTTTCTAAAAAGAATGAATTGGGAAGTTGGGTTTTTGTGAACATTTCGTTCGAAACAATTTTTTTAATACTGGATGCTAAATTTTCTCCAACATTAGCGAAAAAATTTAAGAATGCATCGGATATTTGTCGTTTATCTGTTAATATTGTTCCATCACGATTCTTAATTTCATCAATATTTGGCTTTTCTTGAACGTCTTTGTTAGTTAAGTGATCGACAACTGACCACAGTTTTCTTGGATCAGATTTGGCATCTTGTAATTTTTTTAGGTAGAATTGGCGTTTTGCTTCTTTAACTAGATTGATAAAAATATTTTTATATTCTTTATATTTATGGGAGGTATCTGCACATGGTGATGCTTTCATTATTTTGTATAGTTCCTCTTTTTTGTTGGCAGACTTTATCAAACCTTTAGTTATCCAGGGATTCCTGCTTCTGTCAAAATGTTTAATTTTAACTCTGTTTGTACTACATTCAATTAAATATTTTATGCGTTCAATGAGTGTGTTTGCAGCATCATTAACATTCGTTGCACAGTACACTGCTGTCCACGATTCTAATTTGATATTTGCAAGTAGTTTTTTATTATCGACAAAACACCTAAATTTCACTGTTTCATTATTGGAGATGGATCTACTTTTATTTTTTTCTGGTGATGATATAAGTATTACAGTGGGTAAATGATCGGTAATATGGTTTTCAACAATTAACAGTATGTACCGAAAGAAATTTGAAAAATTTTTGATGAAACAATGATCAATGCAAGAACTGGAACTATTATTGACTACTCTTGTTGGTAAATTTATATTTGATATGAATCCATTGCTCTGCATTACAGTGAGGTATTTGTTTACTAATTTGCTATGTTGGAGTATATTAATATTCATATCTCCTATTATGATGTGGTGTGACTGTATGGCATTTTTGTGATCTAACAAAAATTTTTCAAGATTTTCTACAAATGTATAAGGGTTTGATGATGGTGGTCGATAGACAGATGTGACTTTTACACTTTTGTTATTAATTCTCAATATCAAATCCAACACTGTGATACCATCATCAAATTTAACAAAATCACATCTGTAGTTGATATCATTTCTTACATATACTACCACCCCATCATTCTGGTTGTACGTACCATTATTGTAAAGCGTATCATAACCTTCCAAACAGAACAAAGATACATCATTAATTTTCCAAGTTTCTGTTAATATTATTATATCAAATTTGTGTTTAATTGTAGTTAGGAAGATATTAAAACAGTCAAAATTTTGGTTTAGGCTTCGTATATTCATGTGATATAAGCTAACATTGAAATTAGAATATTCTAACCATTTATTAAGAGCATTTATGTCTTGAGCAATATTTGTATTGATATCATTAACCTGAAAATTATTTACGTAACTATCCATGTAAAATTTTGCAAATGATATGTAGCGCGAAAAACGTAAAAAGAACTAAACGCTCAAAACATTATTCTGGATGAATACTGTTTTTGAAAATATAAATACGACGGGCATTTTTTGTCTGTGGGCGAGTGACCAACATCATTATTGTTATTATGCTTAACGTTATAGTTCATACAGTTAGAACATTTTAAAATGTTTACAGTACAAATTTCACTTCTATGTGCTTGTCCACATTTAATGCACATTTAATAATAGCCTCCAAAATCAGTGCAAAGAACTAAAATTGTACCTGTACAAAAGCCATCCATTTTTTCAGATTTATAACCCCAATTGTATTTTGAAAATTCTAGTGTACCGCATAAAAGTGGCACTTCTGTGATCGGACATGCTTCGTTCCCAGCTTCCAGTAGCAGAATTTGCCAACATTCTTCTTCGGACAGCCGGTTAGCTAAAACGGATCCGCTTGGCCCAGAACCCACAATTATGAAGTCAAATTCGTTGTCTTCTTTTAAACCTAAACGACATAAAATATTCTGTCTAAACCGTATTCACATCCAAGATACACTGGATTAAACCATCACGTTCACGTGATCAATCAGCAACATGTGGACAAGGCAGCGAAATCTAATGAAAATATTTTTACATCACCCATACTAGGTGCACCTTTCTAGTAGAACTGACAGATTAATGCATTTTGGTGGTAACATTCTTAAGTAGAAATGTACTTACACCCTTTTGGATTAGGATACTTATGAGAAACTTTCGTCAGCAATCCAACAATGTTGATAAACGATGTTGTTAAATGTCCGATAAATCCTTGTTCGTCTACTGTCTTATTAGCATGAGATGCTGCCAAAATAGTGAAAATTGTGATGGTTAGTGTTGGATTCAACATCTAGAACCATAGTTTATTATCTAGGTCAGATAATGCATCTGAAGTGTTAATTGTTGTGTCAAGTGTGACAGTTAACCAACAGTTTCCGTCCATAAACTAACAGGTAACATGATTTTCGATGCCCCCACAGGGTCTGTCGGCGATCGAGTGCTTATATTTGCTTTGAGTCTTTAATTTGAGCTCATTGTCAGGACACCGCTATACAAATATAACTAACCTATCTAGCTTCCCGCCCACAGGAGTGCACACCTCAATCATATGCTGCTCTTCCAGGGACCAACTGCTTCTCTGACCCACACCTGCTAGTACTGAGTTTGGTATGAACTCCTGCTAGCTGCGTATCTCATGCCACATAGACTACAAAACGCAATGTTGGCCCTATTTCTTTTTTTTTACTTGTCACCTGCATACACTTCTGAACGACTTAACACTTCAGTCTCATCAGTGTCCTCACTGACAAGCTTCAGTTTATAATCATTATAGCTTTTTGCCGCATCTCTAACCCCATCAGTGTCGTTACGTAATCGTTCTCTTTATCTTCATCCGGCTACACTTATCATCCGAGAAACTCAATACAACCAGCACTCGCAACTATCACCCCACTCCGAAAATGTCAATTTATTCCCCCTGAACTTTTCGACACAATACAGGGTGTCCGCAAAGTTGGGGTTGTCCTTTTCAGAAACAACTACCCTTGAAATAACAAAGGTAATGTGTAGTGAAGCGAGGGCGACCAAGTAAAAAAAATAAAGGAAAAAGTACTCACTCTCCAGTTGACTAGAAGGGCTAAGTACGTCTCTGCCCGAAATCATACCGCTCCAACAGAAAATGAAATCAGCTGATGCGCTACCGAGCAGACGCAGGCGGTTGTGCAGACCACGAACAGAGGTAACAAATATGACGGCGTTGCCACGTTTTCAGTTTTTAGGTAATCATATTTTATAGGTATTGTTCGAAGTTATCGCCGTTTGATGCAAAAACACAGGTGCGTGCACGACGTAGCCAAGCATCGGTGCAGGCTTTGAGAATGGAGTCCCTCCCCCGAATGAAAGCACCAGCTAGTTCAATTCTGAGACGAAGTTCGTCAACCGTATGCGCTTCAGTTTTGTACACTAAGCGTTTCATTTCTCCCCAAAGAAAAAAATCACATGGTGTTAAGTCTGGAGATCACGGAGGCCATGCTACGGGTCCATTACGCCCGATCCACCTATTCGGAAATAATTCATTCAAAAACTCACGCACTTCGCGTCTAAAATGGAGCGGTGCACCATCGTGCAGAAACCACATTGATTGTCTTACACTTAATGGCACATCTTCTAACAAGGAAGGCAAAATGTTGCGTAAAAAGTCTAGGTATTCCATCCCGTCCAATCGATTTGGGAGAATAAATGGTCCAATGAGCATACCGTTCACCATGCCAGCCCAAACATTCACCGAAAATGTTTGTTGAAAATGTGCCCGACGGACAGCGTGCGGATTTTCTACTGACCAAACATGAGTGTTGCGAAAGTTATTCACCCCATTACGCGTGAACGTAGATTCGTCTTTCACCAATATGCACTTCAAAAAGTCCGGATCATTGTCATGTTAATTCAACAACCACTCACAAAACCGCACTCTTGCTGGAAAATCGTCAGGTTGAAGGGCTTGTACACGTTGGACAGCCCCTCTTCACGTAGCGTTTTCCACACTTTAGTTTTTGATACTTGCACTTCTCTAGCCACGTCTCTAGTGCTTGTTGAGGGATTCTCGTCTACGCGATTCAGTAGTTCTTCCTCAACTTGCACCATTCGTGGTTGTCTAGGCCTCCCACTGTGCCCACCTCGAAATTCCTCCAAATGGCCCGTATCCCTGACTCTCTGGAGCAGGTACACAAATCTGCGGGGCCTTGGATGATGTCGTCTAGGGAAACGATCTGCATACACTCGCGAAGCCTCTGTAGCATTTTGAAGACATTCGCCCTAAATTAACAACATATCAACGAGTTCATTATTGGTGTATGAGTGTGCCATTATTATTTTTTTTAAACGCAATGATTATACGGGTTCGTTTACCTCTACACTCGTGACCGTAACCGTCGTGAAGGTTGCATACTGACCTGACACACTGACACCGACCCAGTTCTGTCGTCGGGTTGAGCCAGTGACCATGTACCACTCGGTGATGTCGCGGGTCGCGGCTACAGGACGGTATTCAGATATTTTTGATGTTGCAGAGCCCTTTATCTCGGTTCCCTTAAGACATTCTTGTATATGGTAATAAGAAAAATTGATTATGTTTTCAAGATCTACACGTCGTGTAAAGGAAACCCCAACTTTGCGGACACCCTGTATACATAATTTAGAGTTCTATCCCACTTCTGATGTTATAAACCGAAAAGTACTCGAATAACAACCATTTCTCCGTTACGTCTCTCTAGCCGCTTGACTTAGCAGAACCAAAACAGATGCCTTCGATCCATCCCCAAATATCCAAACCATAATCGTTAATGTTTATTACCACATCATAGGCGGAAATGTCGGTAACAGGATACTAACTATTCGTCATTGAATCTTAGTTCTTAGTTAAAAGCCTTGTCAATCTGTTAGTCTCAGATCTTGTCACGGGACCTGGTTACCTAAATACCAAGGAGAAAGGGAAAGAAAGGGGGAAAGGAATAGAGCAAAGCAAAGAAGCAAACCAGTTGAAGTGGAAAAAGCTTAATCATTATTAATTTGACTACTGAATAATTTTGTTATTCTAAGAAATAATTTTAATCGGTCTCTGTAGTCTACTGACTCACACAATAGAGGGTTGCCCCTTGATTATAACGCCGCTGTGTCAATTCCTTAGGCCCGTATCGTCAGTCGTCCCTACAATTGTAGGGCGCCTTTATGGCCTACTTCTCAGTGTCAGAACTCTATTTTGAGGTTATGTCACAAACATCTATTTGCATCAAATTGTGCTTGCTTTTGAGTTATATCATGTTTTATCAGCCTGAAATTTCCTACAATTTAAAAAGAAAACATATCTTCACAAAAGGAGAGCGCTGACGCTGACACGGTACAAGTGTAATCTAGAAATTTTTGAAGGAGAGAAAGGAGTATGACAATCAAGGAAGCTATAAACGCGCCCTACAATTTTAGGGACGACTGACGATACGGGCCTTAGATACGGATGTCAAGATTTCTGTGAATGGTCTCATTTGATACGTACCATGCGGCGTTGGTGAATGTGAGTAGACTTCTGTTTTGCAGGTCTTGGTGTCTCCGCATGTGGGTCTTGGCGAGGAAGCACCAAGTCGCGCATGCGTAGGTGATTGCGTGTCTAATGACCATTTTATATAACCAACTCTTGTTCGTCAGACTTAAGTTTGAATTTCTGGACAACAAAGGATGAAGCTGCCGAAAAGTAAATTGGAATTTTGTTTTCAAAGTTTCAATGTATTTCTTCCAGGTCAAGCCCTTGTCAATAATGACTCCAAGGTACCTGACAGATTGTTCCCATGGTATATGAGTTCGATTCACTGAGATCTCTGCCATGGCACCGCGACGTTTTTTGGTACAATAGGTTTTCTGCGTTTCCGAATGATTAATTTTGATCAGCCACCTGTCCTCCACTCCAATACTTCTCCACTGCGTTTTGCAGCCTGTCGTGAACTAGTGCCGTATCGTCAGCATAGATATGAATAAAGGATTGGCCTTAGGATCGAACCCTGCAGAACACCGGTTCTTCTGAACAAAATGATCCGAAATTTCCTTCCTTCTAGAAAGGATTTCAACAATTTTTGAAGCTAAAGAGAAATCCTTTTTGGGTGAGGTTATGCTAGAGGTCCATGTTCCACTACTTGTCAAATGCCTTTGATACATCTAAAAGCAAGATACCAGGTGGCCATGAATCACCTTTTGAGCGAGCTTAGAAGAACTCTGACATTTTTTGGGATCATGATGACTTCAGCGATCTTCTACGCCTTAGAAAAGTACTGAACTGTGACCAGTGCAATGATTATTGCCACCAGATAAGACAAAACCTTCAGCGCAAGCAACACGTGTTTACCTTGCCGATATGAATCACAAAATTAGGAATACTTTAAAGTGTGGCATCAATTTTAATGTTGTATGATTCATCTTAGTTGCAAAATTTTCTGCACCTCAAGCTCTTTAGTTTGTACTTTGGGATGTCAGGTGAAAATTAGTAAAAAGCGATTTTTCAACAAAGCAATTTATGTCACAAATCACATTATTTGTAATATAATACAAATCACAACAGTCATTTTTAGCTCGGAGATGACAACATAATGTCCCTAACAAAAATGTATCACCTTAGGAATTATCCACAAAACTGAGAACAAAGTTTTTTCTTTAGCCTCATCCAAATGTTCAAAATGTGCACTCGCGTAAGGGACAAACTAGGGCCTATACAGGGTGACAGGTAAATAGGTGTAAAACATTTGAGGAGGTGATATTACAGCCCCTTTGCTATCGAAATTAGTATATAATACCATACCCTATAAGCAAAGGTTGAAAAGTTATTGAATATTTAAGATTTTTTTAAAAACAATTCATATTTCAGAGTAAAAAAGTCGAGAGAGAAAAAAGTTGGCGTTTAAACATTTGTTTTTTGTGGTTTTGGGTTATTATTTCAATAATTAACTATTATAAATTAAAAAAGATTAGAAAACAATACCAAACAACGTATTTATTTTCATTCAAAAATGTTTAACTAAGAAAAACAAATAACGTTTTACAGTAAGTAAGGTGTTTTACAAAAAAATCAGTATACAAAAAAACGTACAAACAATTTAAATAATATCCTTGTTTCATAAGGAATCTAAATTGGTATGATAAGTGCACAAAAACTGTGTGAAACTAAACATAATGTATTGTAATACAACAATAGGGAGTAAATTTACCAATGGCTTGTCTCCTATTTTCACAACTCTCTGATTGATAAGAAACTGTTTTTGTGAAAATAATGTAACTGTAAGCTATGGGATAGTTATTATTTTAAACTACGGTTAAGTTACACGATTAGATTATTTACACAGTTGTAATTGTACTACAGAATAATAAAAACTGACTAAAAGTTACTACAATTGGTAAGTAAAATAAAATAATGAAATGAAGGTAAAATTCATTGCAATTGTTGTTCGAACTGACGCCCGCCGCTTCTTATGCAAGCCCGTAGTCTTTTTCTCATGTTGGTACGCGTGATGCGGCCAGTTAGTTGTCCTCTGATAGTGTCAGCAGCAGCAATAATTCTTTCTTTCAACTGTGCAAGAGTGTCTATGGGCTCAGCGTACACCAGTGACTTCATGTGCTCCCATAAATAATAGTCACACGGTGTTAAATCTGGGCTCCTCGCTGGCCACGGTGTCGGTCCACCTCGGCCAATCCAGCGACAAGGATATTTCCAGCCACTGTCTAACACCCAGACGGAAATGCGCGGGACAGCCATCGTGTTGGTAGATCATCTGCATCCTGATATTCAGAGGCAGGCCTTCGAGATACTCCCAGAGTTCGGATCTCAAAAAGTTTTCATAGGATTCGCCATTCAGGTTGTCAGGCAAAAAAACTGGTCCAATTAGATACGTATGAATGATTCCCATCCACACGTTTGCCGAAAATCTTCTTTGATGGACTCTTGGCTTTGCCATGTGGGGGTTTTCCTCTCGTGGGGCCCAATAATGTAAGTTGTGATAATTTGTTGTCCGCTCTCTGTCAAACTTAGACTCGTCGGTCCACAATATTTTAGTTAAATAGTCGTTTTCTTCTTGATCCCGATGAAGCATGTATCGACAAAAATCAATTCTTCTTGCGGGATCTCCTTCTTCTAATACTTGAACCGGTGTGTAATGGAAAGCGTAAAGTCTCGCCGAATGCAAAACGAACCAAACTTTCCACTGAGTTAAACCAAGCTTCTTTGCTTATAACTCGTGTAGACGTCGTCGGGTCTCTGCCGTAGCATTCCAGTATTGCCTCTCGATCTTCGTCGTCAAACAACCGAGGTCTACCAGCATCATGACGTCTCTCATGAACCTGTCCACTTTCCTTGACGCGTTGGTACACAGAAGCAAATACTCGATGACTCGGTATTCGCCGATTCGGAAAACGGTTTTGGTATTCTCGCCTGGCTTCAACGGAATTTCCATCACTTAAACCATAACAAAACAGAATATCAGCGTATTCTTCGTTACGGTAGTACGTACGTTTCCAGTAGTGTTTTCATATGTTTTTTAATTTATGAGAATTATTTATTTAAATAATAACCTGAAACCACCAAAAAAATAATGTTTAATCACCAACTTTTTTTTATCTCAACTATTTTACTCTGTAATCTCGGTTGTTTTTTAAAAAAATTAAATCTTCCATAACTTTTCAACCTTTGAATATAGGGTATGGTATTATATACTAATTTTGATAGCAAAGGAGCTGTACTATCACCTCCTAAAATGTTTTACACCTATTTACCTGTCACCCTGTATCTCGCATGACATGAGTAGAAGGAGGAGCTTTCTCCTCTTACACAGCTCAAGCGTCCATTAAGAGCTCATTTCGCTCTTCACAATATCCACTAGCCAATTGTCTTTGGAACAGTCAATATAAAACTAGAAAATCACAGCACTCCCCAATCTTGCTTGATCAAATCCGCCCCTTTTTCGCCAACAACATACGCGGGTTCAGCAGTATGGGCTGTCACAGGTAGAGGGATGACACTGGTGTCAATCACGCGCAGGCTTTTGATTCCGTAGACTCGGAGTCTTGAGTCAACGACGGCTTCCTTATCTTCAGGCGGGCCCATTTTGCAGGTGGACACTTGGTGATATAGGCTGCCGATGAGGCTTCGTAAGCTACACTCCCAGTAATCGTCTGAATTGAAGGTATGCTGTTCACAACCTGTAAATATACTAAGTGACATAAATCCGAACACCCAGTTTAAATGGTTTTATTTTAATAAAAGTTGGTGAATGTATTTATCTTACTGTAAATAACAAGTGCAAAAAAGGTTCAGCCTTATCAGTTGGACATTCCGGTTTTAATACTGCTTTTTTTTTTAATTCACTAACGCTCTAAAAATGAATATTTCAGCCGCAGTAAAAAATCAACGTTGGCGGATTTTGGTTCTTGACATCCTTTACGATCGGTACCGATGCCTACAGTACGGAGACCTGTACGATTTCGAATAGTGGGACTCCGGGAAGCTGGACTTTCTTTTCGGGCAACTGTGGTTAGGTGTTGTCAGGCATGGCTTCGAGAAGGCCGTACGCAAAGAGCAAGGGACACTGGACGCCGCCGTAGAACAACAGACCGTGAAGATCGCCGCCTACGATTATTGGCCTTAAGGGACCGTTTCTCCACTACCAGGTCTATTGCAAATGAATGGTTTGCAGAACACGGAAGACCTATTGGCATGCGAAGTGTTTACTGACGAATGAGAAGTTTTGGCTTGTTTTCATACCGGCCACACTGGCTCCTCCCTTTAACTCGAGAACACCGACGTAATCGCCTTGAGTGGTGCAGACAACGGTCACTCTGGGATCAGGAATGGAACAGTATTATCTTTAGTGACGTGTCTCGATTTTGTTTAGGCATGCACGATGGTCGTGCCAGGGTTAGAAGGCGACGTGGTGAAAGGAGGAATCCACAGTTTTTTGTTGAAAGACATGTTCATCACACTGTTGGAGTTATGGTTTGGGGTGCTATAGCTTATGGTTCCAGGTCACCTTTAATCTTCATCAGAGGTAACATGAACGCGCAGCGTTATATCCACGAAGTTCTAGAACCCCATCTTTTACCCTATCTTGACACCCTGGCAGATCCAACTTTCCAACAAGATAATGCCCGACCACATGTTGCAAGAGTCACAATAGACTTCTTTCAACATAATGATGTCACATTGTTGCCATGGCCACCAAGATCTCCCGACTTATCCCCAATTGAGCATGTGTGGGATATGATGGGTAGGAGATTGCTCAATTTGCAACGTCCTCCTCAGACTCTAGAAGCACTTCGAGAGGAGTTGGTGGTTGCCTGGAATGAGTTACCACAGGAGGACATTGACCACCTGATCAGAAGCATGCCTAGGCGCGCTGGAGAATGCGTAGAACATCAGGGTGCATCCACACATTATTAAAGGTCAAAGGGCTTTAAAGCAGTGCAATCATTTTGAAATTTTTATCATTTACTTATTATGCTTCATTAAGTACTTATACAAAATTTTATTAAAATAAAACCATTTAAACTGGGTGTTTGGATTTATATGTCACTTAGTATAAGTTGAATACTTGATGCTAAGATAGTAGCGGCGATAGATACGAGGTCTGTAAATTAAGTGGTGAGACTGATATTTTTTAACAACTATTCAAAATTGTAGCAGAAATAATATCTTCATATATTCTATGATGGGATGTTTTGAAGAGCAAAAAAACTCACACGCCATTTCTTAACCAATGATTGGGTATATTTTTCAGAATACTTCACTTTGAAGCAGAAGCCAGGGGGGCATATGCCCCACTTTTAGAGCAGAATAGGAAACAAATGTTTCACAAGAAAAACCGATACGGACAACTAAATGACTCGAGCGAGTTCAACCTTGTACTGAACCCGGATCACATGTTCCCCTGTCTCCCGTCTAAGCCCAGCGCCTCCAGTGTTGCCAGAACGAACGCTACGTTGCGAGCCTCATCACTTAATTTTCAGACCTCGTCCATAAACAGCTACAAAGTAGGAGTTTGTTTGCAAATACCTACTTTTACTTCCTAGGTTACTAATTGCCAAGGATAAAAAAACTTTATAGTTTATATAAATCCGTCCAGTGGCGGCGAAGCTAGGGACAAAAGCACGCCTGAAGTACTGAATCAAATTCAAATTCAAAATATTTATTTCGTCATGAATAAACATCATAAACAAAAGAAATTCTACATATAGAGTAATGACGATTATAAAACCGATACATTGGACCCTTTAATATAAAGAGTCCATGCGAGAAAGCCTTGAACACCCTAAAAGTCCTTAAACAAAATAAACAAAACAATAAAGAGGCAAATGAAGAGGCGGTGAAACACAAAAAGGCAAAAACGAAGAAAGAACCCCCGGGAGCTGGCAACGGACGCGAAGAACAAATCTATACAACCTGTCAGGGAGTAGGAATGTAAAAACGATATTGTTGCTCACACAAACGCTGCTAAAGTAGCTGGTGATTCTGTAACAACGTTTTTGTCAGTTTTGAGAATGTTTTTGACGATTAGCTTTTAACTGAAGTTCGTAAATTATTCCATAAGTGAACCGCCACAGAGGCAAACGATCGTCGGAAGGAACGCGTCCTATGCCTAGGTACGATAAAATTGAGATTATTTCTGCTTCTCTGGGGACTAGGCAAAGGCACTAATCTTTCTCTTAAATAGGGCGGTTGACCTGCTTTTATAACCCTATAGATAAAAGAATACATATGATATTTTCTGCGATTCGTCATGTTTAATATGTTGTAGTTATTCAGATAAGGAGTGATATGGTTTCGATATGGAATTCCAAACGCAAATCTCATGCAACTATTTTGACCCTTTTGTATGAATTTTTTTTTTCTCGACGATAGCAAATCACCATACACGATATCTTCATAGTCAAAAAGTGATAAAATTAAGGTATTACACAAATAATATTTTTGTATGGCTGATAAATGTTTTTTTAATTTGTTTATATTTTTTAGTCGCATGTAAGCTAAATTTAATCTGTTTTTTATATGACTGCCGAAGCCAAGCGAGCTATCAAATATAATGCCTAGATTTTTTGTCTCCTGAACTATGGGGATTCTGTCATTGTTAATAGAAATTACTACATTTTGTTCAAAATGTTCTCTTTCAGTACTGTTTTTATTCATAACCATTACTTGTGATCTTGAGGGGTTTAGTTTAAGATTGTGATGCTTTGCAAACATGTCAATTCTTTGGAGATCTGAATTTAGTTGTTGTTGTGCAATATGGATTGTAGTTTTATTGACAGGGAGATATATTCGTGAGTCATCTGCATATTGTTTTATCTTTGCGAATTTTACCGATTTGACCATGTCAGATATGTAGATTGAAAATAGCAAAGGAGATAAAATTGAATTGAAATTGAGGAACTCCTCTTTTTATAGGTTTAAAATCGGTTTTGTAAATAGCAGAATCATTTGCTAACATAACACAGTTTGAACGGTTGCTTAAGTATGTTTTTATTAGATTTACGGAGTTCTGATGATATCGTTTGTGTCACAAAAAAATCTAATTTGATTATAAATATGCCTTTCTAAAATTTTGGATGTAGCGGGTAATATGCTAATAGGCCCCAAGTCTGTAAATTCTTTAGGTTCTTCTATTTTTGGTAAGGGTTTAACAATAGCTTTCTAGCATATTTCTGGAAATAATCCCCCCAAAATACATGTGTTGATTATATTCAGCAAGGCATTCGTACAAAATGGGCTACATAACTTTAGGTCTCTCATAGAGAAACCATCCTCTCCAATGGCATTTGATGAGATATTAGTTACAATTTTGATTAGACTGGCCCTGTCTAACAGTTGGAAGCTAAGAGAATCGTTAATGTTTACATTGTTTTTGTAAAAATTCATTCATAGATATTATTAACATGTGTATACGAAGGATGTCTTTTAAGTTTTGCTTATAGAAACATAGTAGGCCGCGCGGATCGAACGTCAGTACTGAATCTTAACCTCACTCTTTAGTAAACCTAAATTCAAAGTTTCACAACAATACGTGCAGTGTTCTCACTACAGTGAATTTTTGAGAGTCACAAAGTCATTAGAAAAATGGAACTCAACCGAGAACATTTTCGCGCCATAATTTATTACAACTTTCAGAAACAATTATCGCGAAAAGAATGCCTTGCTGAGTTACTGTCTGTTTTCGGCAACGAAGCGCCACATCAGTCGACAATTTCCCGTTGGTATGAAGAATTCAAACGTGGACGGGTGAGTCTTAGCGACAATCCCAGGGTGGGAGCACCAAAAAGGGCAGTCACCCAGGAAAACGTCGATGCTGTGCGCAAACTCATCATTGAAGATAGACTTGTCACATATCAACGAGATTGAGGCGTCCTTGAAGATCTCAAAAACCTCAATTCAAAAAATTTTACATGAAGAATTAGGAGTAAGAAAATTAGTTTCTCGTTGGATATCCCACCTGTTGACTGAAGAGCAGAAAGCAGCAGGGTTAATTGGTGTCATTGTTAGTGGTGATGAATCGTGGATTTACCGTTATGAACCAGAAAATAAACGACAGTCGGCTGTATGGGTGTTCCAAGGTGAAGAACAGCCAACAAAAGTCAACCGTTCTCGAAGTGTTTCGAACAAGATGGTCGCGACATTTGTGTCAAAAGCGGGTCATATAAAGAACTGTTACTGCGGATTGGTATACCACCATTTGTTTGCCAAAAGTGATCACCGAGCTTCGAAAAATCAACCCCGAAAGAAGAATCATCCTCCACCTAGACAATGAAAGCTAGCACACAGCCCAAAAAACAAGGCAGTATTTAACGGAAGAAAACGTGGAATTATTGGATCATCCTCTATATAGTACCGATCTAAGTCCTAACGATTTGTTTGCTTTCCCGAAAATTAAAAATAGACTGCGTGGTCAAAGGTTAAAGCCACCAGAAGAAGCAGTTGACCGTGTTGTTTTATTTCCATATGCAAAACTTAAAAGACATCCGTCGTATTGACCTCTCTGTCACAGCACGACAACGGCATTACTACATTTCTCCGATGAGATAATCCATATCACTGATGACTAATTCGGCAACACTATTGATCATTGATTGATTTTTCTAAAGCTATCGATCTGGCCATAGCAAGTTGAGTTATTATGACATGACTCAAAGAATGAAAACTTCCAGTCGGTTAAATGTAGGCAATGTCACGCATTACGTTGACTAAAAAAATTGAATCTAGAAGATTTCGCAATTCCGGGTATTCCGGGCGGAGACGCAAGAAACCGAATTTTCCCAAAATCGTTTTTCTTTACTCCTGACTTTATTTGAGATGGGATTTCAAAATAAAAAGTACATTAACATTGCTACTTTTTCTCCTCTAAAAGATGGCGTAATTATAATTTCAATATGACGGTTCGTCCCTTGTGCCCAATCATGAACTTTATTTTTTCTTAAAAGCGCCATACTGGATTGTTGCACAGAAGAATAGAGTTTTCAATGCTGATTTCAAAAAAATATAATCTTATAGATGTGTGACACGCAATTAAAATTCCAGTTTATTGAGTCCTGCTTACAGCATCATTCAAATCAATCTTGATGATGTCTTAACGTACACTAATATTCCATTCTTTGGTAATATAAATATGAATTATGTTTAATTATGATCTTAGATTTAATGTACATGTAAACAGTAACATGCAATCTAGTTACATGACGATAAATAGGAATGCTAGGACTACTTGTCTAATGAATCGTCAACATTGTAGCTCCAAAAATAATAATGATGTCACGGAAATGAGAAACGGCGCGGAATTTGAATCCAGGTTGAATGTTTCTTTTATTCAAAGAGCACCGCCTAGAGTAAGCAATGCTGAATGCTGCTGACAAGTCTATTAAAGTGCAAAAATAGATTTGTGTGGACAAGCTGTACGATCTAGTATCATATACTAAGTGACATATACATCCGAACACCCAGTTTAAATGGTTTTATTTTAATAAAAGTTGGTGAATGTATTTATCTTACTGTAAATAACAAGTGAAAAAATGTTCAGCCTTATCAGTTGGACATTCCGGTTTTTATACTGCTTTTTCTTAATTCAGCCGCAGTAAAGAATCAACGTTGGCGGATTTTGGTTCTTGACATCCTTTACGATCGGTTACGGAGTACGGAGACCTGTACGATTTCGTCAACTTAGTGAGTTTGATAGGGGCCGTATAGTGGGACTTCCGGAAGCTGGACTTTCTTTTCGGGCAATTGCAGTTAGAGTGCAAAGAAGTGTAGACACTGTGGTTAGGTGTTGTCAGGCATGGCTTCGAGAAGGCCGTACGCAAAGAGCAAGGGGCACTGGACGCCGCCGTAGAACAACAGACCGTGAAGATCGCCGCCTAAGATTTTGGCCTTAAGGGACCGTTTTTCCACTACCAGATCCATTGCAAATGAATGGTTTGCAGAACACGGAAGACATATTGGCATGCGAAGTGTTTACCGACGAATGAGAAGTTTTGGCTTGTTTTCATACCGGCCACACTGGGTCCTCCCTTTAACTCGAGAACACTGACGAAATCGCCTTGAGTGGTGCAGACAACGGTCATTGTGGGATCAGGAATGGAACAGTATTGTCTTTAGTGACGAGTCTCGATTTTGTTTAGGCATGCACGATGGTCGTGCCAGGGTTAGAAGGCGACATGGTGAAAGGAGGAATCCACAGTTTTTTGTTGAAAGACATGTTCATCACACTGTTGGAGTTATGGTTTGGGGTGCTATAGCTTATGGTTCCAGGTCACCTTTAATCTTCATCAGAGGTAACATGAACGCGCAGCGTTATATCCATGAAGTTCTAGAAACCCATATTTTACCCTATCTTGACACCCTGGCAGATCCAACTTTCCAACAAGATAATGCCCGACCACATGTTGCAAGAGTCACAATAGACTTCTTTCAACATAATGAAGTCACATTGTTACCATGGTCACCAAGATCTCCCGACTTATCCCCAATTGAGCACGTGTGGGATATGATGGGTAGGAGATTGCTTAATTTGCAACGTCCTCCTCAGACTCTAGAAGCACTTCGAGAGGAGTTGGTGGTTGCCTGGAATGAGATACCACAGGAGGACATTGACCACCTGATCAGAAGCATGCCTAGGCGCGTTGGAGAATGCGTAGCACATCAGGGTGCATCCACCCATTATTAAAGGTCAAAGGGCTTTAAAGCAGTGCAATCATTTTGAAATTTTTATCATTTACTTATTATGCTTCATTAAGTACTTATACAAAATTTTATTAAAATAAAACCATTCAAACTGGGTGTTCGGATTTATATGTCACTTAGTATACGAATAAATAGTTACGTATCGGTTAAGTATTGACTTTTACAATTCATAATGATAATAATAATAATTCTCGCGAATAGACCAGGTATAATACTGCACAAAGTTAGCGACACTATGAACAAAATATACACATTTTGAGATGGACAAAACAGTTAGGTAGAATATTGGCAGACCTTTTAGATGTCTGGATCAGTTAGCAGAACGTTCTTCAAGGGCTTACCCGGTATTGGTGTATCCATGATTTTAGCTCCATACATCTGCATTGCAGGACTCTGCATTATCCTCTGTATTTCTCTTATAGCCGCAATCATGGTTTTGATATCGTGATTTTCTGGATCAGAAAAATAGTTGGGATAGAATTTCGGTGGATCGAAAGGATTTTTTGATCGCAATTTGATGTACCCTATTGACTTTGGATGGAACAGCATTGGGTATACCTGAAATCGAAAATATTCCGTTATTAAGATCAGAGTCGTAGACAAGAACACAACCTTCCAAATTATTTGTTGCGAGTTTAACATTTTCTGAACCCCTATGCCATGAGATTTTTGATAGAACGTTGTTTCTGGTTCCTTTGGGATGCAATACAAAAATGATTTAGACGTTTCGGCTGCTCAGATGTATGAGATTCTAATCAATGGTCAGCGAAGGCATAGAATAGGTTCCAGAAATTATATTTAGTATTTCCAAGCACAGGTTACCTGAAAAGCTGGTTTTCCTTCTAATGGTTTCCACAATTTATCGTATGTTCGTCTCGGAATATTGAACATCCTTCTGTATATAATTCCTGCGTCTACCTTCCAAATTATTTGTTGCGAGTTTAACATTTTCTGAACCCCTATGCCATGAGATTTTTGATAGAACGTTGTTTCTGGTTCCTTTGGGATGCAATACAAAAATGATTTAGACGTTTCGGCTGCTCAGATGTATGAGATTCTAATCAATGGTCAGCGAAGGCATAGAATAGGTTCCAGAAATTATATTTAGTATTTCCAAGCACAGGTTACCTGAAAAGCTGGTTTTCCTTCTAATGGTTTCCACAATTTATCGTATGTTCGTCTCGGAATATTGAACATCCTTCTGTATATAATTCCTGCGTCTGAACTTAGAGCACCGCCAATGAATATAAGCTCAATATCTGGCATTGTTGGGTTAGGATCATCGGAAACGTTCGTTTTGATGTACGTCAATGCTTCCACGCCACCTATAGAAGTAACTATGATAAATAATAATAAATTTAATTTCGTAATACAAGACGATATCCCAATTATTTCTACCCCATTTTACCCAGAAATAGTATCTCTCTTTCTGGATACAGAATAGACGTGTTTTGGTAGTACTCGTTGTCTGGAAAATATCATTTTGCATTAGTTCCATTATGATGGATTGATGAAGGAGCTTAATGAAGCGTCATCGAATCTGAAGAAATACAGGGTATTACAGAATTTAAAAGCAGATTCAGCACGTCAAAGTTAATATACGTATCTTGAAAAGTGACATTATGCCGATTTTTTTTTGACATTACGCTGGTTTTTGTACATTATGCAGGTTTTTCTACAAGATATTAACTTAGCACTCAGTTGAATGTGTTGCCTGAACGTCATCAGACTTATTATCAATCTTTGGCTCTGATGTGATGTAAAATCTACTTCTGAGATGGCATTACTGGAGGTCTAAGCTGTAAGTTGTATGTGATGAAGATAATTACATTGGGTTCTTGTCTCAAATACACTTAATTAAGATTCAAAGCTAGAAATTAGTTGTGCGTCCACTTTTTCTTATCCATTCTGGAACTTAGATATACAAATTTGCTGAATTTCAAAAATGAGAGGGATAAGAAATAATTGGACACTGCCGAATTACAAGCCATATACATGCTAACAGTAATTACACACAACGCGGGCCCGGTGATGTTTTCCCGTAATTCTCCTCAGTTTTTCGTAATTTATAACTTTGAAGATAAAAATAACTCGTCATTCAGTAATGGTTTTCTCACACAGCAGATATCACCGATTTTATACACATGCAGACCAATACACACAATCATCCAGATGCGATCTTGCTATTCACCCAACTTTCTTCTCAGAGATAAAAAACTACAGACAAGGCCCATTTGGCCTCACAAAACATATGCAACCAATAATGCGTGTAGTTTAGTTGAGTGATTCCTCCTGAGATGGACGTTCACAACGATCTTAGTCAGCAAACGTGGAATGACTGCGCACTAAAAACTACCTAGTTTGCAAGATGACATCTTACAGGGGTTTTTTTGACGTTTTATAGGTTTTTTACATGTTAAGAACACTCCAATATAGTTCTACCTGACTCTCTCAGAAGAAAGGTTATATTTTTTGCGCGTGGGTAATTGGAGAGAAAAAAATATAAAGTTTCTAGGAACCAACATCATCGTAGATATTTCATACCCTTAGAGTTTTGGTCGCAGGTGCGTACTTTGTGCACAACAAAGGATTCCGCTAACTATAAAAAGCAGACCGGACGGATTGGGATCCAAACTTGTTTTGATTTCTATACTACAACTATTTAAAACTGTAATGACTCATACGCGTGATCAACACGTGATCAGAGCTCGATCCCGGCTTCCTTCCAGTACAGCCGTATAGCGTACGACATATGTCGTTTCTGTGGCTTTGCGGTGGTCAACAGCACAGACAGAGATGGAAATAATGGCTGATTGTTCTCCGCCGGTAGAACCAATGAAATCAAAGACGCGCCTCGACCGGCAGACTTATAGGCGTCGACAATGCATTGGAACGTGTTTCGTTGAGCGATCGCATATTGTGTGTTTTTATAAGAATTGTTGTGTGATTGTTATTGTTGTGGTTTCTGTGGTTACTGTTTTGGTTATACTTAACCATGGAGAGTACAAATGGCACGAGTGGAAGTACTGAAAGCCAGGGAACAAGTAGACGGCTTCGTAAAGCACTGAAGAGGGACGCGAAAGAAATCGTCCTCAACGTGTACAATTATCTGAACAGAACTATGTCGCAGGGAGATGCACTCGCGCGTTGTGAAAGTATGACAGGCGTTCCAGAGTGGACCATTCGCAGGGTGGTGCATGAAAAGAAGAAAACTGGAGCTACTACTGATCCAAAGTTTAATTTGAAGGGACGAAAGGCCGTTAAATTGGATGACGATAGAAAAATGGCGTTAAGGCGAACCGTACATTCATTCTTCTTTAGGAATGAGATACCAACCCTCAAGGCTGTACATGCAGCGATCAAGGAAAATGAAATTATACCCCAAATGAGCGTCGAGGTAATGAGGAAATCCCTGCACGAAATTAGTTTTCGTTACGAAACGCGTAATCGGAAGTCAGTATTGATAGAGAGACCTGAAATAGTCGCCTGGCGTCGAAAATACCTACGCGAAATGATTGAATATAGGCGACAAAGCAGAAAAATCTATTATTTGGACGAGACATAGGTAAATGCAGGTCACACAGTTAAAAAAACCTGGATAGACAAAAACGTAGTGAGTAACCGACAAGCAAGCATTGAAGGTTTGTCAACAGGTCTTCGTGGACCGTCAGGGAAAGGTCAAAGATTGATCGTAACTCATATTGGTAGCGATAGTGGCTTTTTAGAAGAGTGTGACTTGATTTTCGTCTCTAAGAAAGGAGGTGATTACCATGACGAAATGAATGCCAGCTGCTTCGAGAGCTGGTTTCAAGGGGTGCTTCAGCGAGTTGAGCCCAACTCTGTGATCGTCATGGATAATGCTTCCTACCATAGGTCGTCGAGCCGAACGTGTACCGACTATGGGATCTCGAAAAAGTGACATGCAGCAATGGTTGCGCGAAAAAGGAATCCCGTTTGACGATTCATGTGTGAAAGCGGAATTGTATGAAAAAATGAAACAGCACAAACCTGCGAACATTAGTTACGTGGCTGATGAGATGGCCCGTCAATGTGGTGTCACTGTGCTGCGGTTACCGCCCTACCACTGTGAACTGAACCCAATAGAGCTCATCTGGGCTCAAGTGAAGGGTTATATTGCGCGCCATAAAACAACCTTCAAATTACCAGACGTTAAGGTTTTACTTGAGACTTCCATACAGCTAGTAACGCCCGAAGCTTGGTAGAATGCTATCCGTCATGTTGTGAAGGAAGAAACAAAAATGTGGCAGCTTGACCACCACATCGACACCATCATAGAGCCAGTTATAGTCAATTTCAACGAGGAAAGCGATAGCGACAGTTTATTACTGTCAGATGTAAGTGGAAGCGACGATGAATAAAGGTAATTCCCAAATTTTTGACTTACAATATGTTTCAAACCACTCTTTATTAAGCATGTGACAAATCTAGTTCACCCATGTTAAACATTCATACCCCGCCTATGAATAGCCGACTACTGGTAGTTAAGTGATGTTCACGTGAACATCGATGAGTCATTACAGTTTTAGATAGTTATAGTATAGTAGCGCGTTTGTGTCGAGTAGATCAACTTTGGATTCCAGGTATTTATATTTTCATAACTTGCTGAGATTAACCTGACAATATTCTGTAACACCCTGTTGAAAAATGAACATGAAATGACTAATACCAAAATACAAAATGATGATGATGATACGAGGGTGAATCAAATATGAACCGGACTTTTTTTAGTAATTTTATTGGTATAGTAAACACAAGTTTATTGGCATATTATTTTTATACATAATCTCTTCCCTCATTGATGAGCTTTTCCCATCGGATAGGAAGTTTTTTAATTCCCCCATCAAAGAATGAAGCTAGCGCGCCAAACCGACTGACTCCCCTCTTACTGACATCACCACCCAAAATATACCAAGACGTCGCTCCACTCCATTCACCAATGGGGCGTTATATGTAATTTATGCGGATGTGGATTGTGAATCAATTGATGATATTATCATAATAACGTCGCTTACCAATTTGTGCGATTGGCCCAGTGCCTCTCTTAAGGTACTCCGCATACGTGGCGGGGTTTGATAAATAATATGCTAAGTCATGAACAATACTTTGGTTCGCAGTGAACGTCAAACCAACGAAAGTAGCATGGTCGTACATTTTTCTACCGACTGGAAGATCTTTGATAACTGGAATTCCTGTAACATAAAAGTGGCGTCAAGCATTTTAGCTCAGTTTCTTGAAAAAGTGAAGCCGAATATTAATAACTAACTTGATATTATAACTCTCTTAAGGTCGATTCATAAACTCTAACGTTCCACACCACAGGAATTCCGTAACGTTCGTGCTCAAGGCTGACGATAAACTTGACGAAGTTTCAACATTCTGCCCTTGCCTTTCCCGATTCAACCAATGAAAAGCAGCCTGCAAATCACGTATTTGTCACGACAGATCAGCTGTTTTTTCCGCGTGTTTTCAACTCTGTTTAACAATACGTATGCTTTGTTTTGCTTTTGTAATCACTGGACAACAAATTTTAGTTTTTTCATTGTATCTTGTAGGAAAAGTGGACTTCTTTTTTAATTTTGGGGCGCTGAATCCAAAAATGACAATGAAATAAAAAAATTAGTTGCGGTTTAGAAAAAAACTTTTTATTTTTAAGGATATATTAAAAAAAGTAACAAGATTCATATATTTATAAGAATCACTATATGCGCTGTCTTTTTGCTGTTCTTTTATGGATCGTTTCTGGAGCATCTCTACCAAGAGTCCAACAGTAGTCTGCAAGCATGGAACGATTCCACTTTCCCTGGTACCTTTTTTCCATTGCCGAAATATCCTGATGAAAACGTTCGCCGTGCTCATCACTTACGGCTCCGCAATTGTCAGGAAAAAAGTCCAGGTGTGAGTGTAGGAAATGTATCTTAAGAGACATATTACAGCCCATCTTTTAATACGATGACAGCATATTTTTGACAAGGGTTTTATAGTTGTCAGCTTTTCTATTTCCCAAGAAATTAGTGACCACCAGACGGAAATAATTCCAAGCAGTTTTTTCAATACCTGTTAAAGTGTTTTCAAACTGTGTAGCTTTCAAAATATTTCGAATCTGTGGCCCAACAAAAATACCTTCTTTAACCTTTGCCTCACTTAGTCTTGGAAATTCCTGACGCAGGTATTGAAAAGCTGACCCATCTCTATCTAATGCCTTGACAAAGTTTTTCATTAGGCCCAACTTGATATGCAGTGGTGGTAATAAAATTTTTTTCGAATCTACTAATGGCATATGCTGTCCATTTTTTTGACCTGGCTCTAGGAATTGACGAACAGGCCAGTGTCTGGTGTAATGAAGTGCCTTTGCCCGACTGTCCCATTCACACAAAAAACAGCAAAACTTTGTGTAGCCTAGCTGCAGCCCAAGTAAAAGTGCAACAACTTTCAAATCGCCACAAATATGCCATTGGTGCTCATCGTATTTTATGCATGTCAATAGGTACTTCATATTGTCATATGATTCTTTCATGTGAACTGCATATCCTACAGGAAGAGATGGTAAAATATTTCCAATATGCAATAAACTCAATGTTGAACTGTCTATAAACAATCTCCATTCTTCTGGGTTATAGTTTATATTTAAAGCCGCCAGTAAGCCGTTAATGTTACTTCAGAAAACCAAGTTATTCTACAAATTGAAAAATGGTTCTAAGTCTTTGTGGCGTTTACGAAAAACACATACCGAAACATCGTCTTCTAACAAGTTCCACTGCTGCAGTCTTGATCCAAGTAACTCTGCCTTACATTTTGGAAGTTCTAAATCTCTTACAAGATCATTTAATTCTGACTGTGTTATTTTGTGCGGTTGGTGGCATGACGTGCTCGGTATAAAATCAGGATCTCTTGACGTTGATGGCATATCTTCTTTCTGACGAATCACTCGATCGCCATGATCTGATTCGTTTTCTGATTCGCAAGTGTAGGATTCTGGGGGTTTTGGAATAGGATTTTCGTCACTGTGAGGCACAGGTCTCATCGCAGATGGTATATTTGGGTAGTTAATAACCGATTTTTTTTCTTGGACATACCTGTGGCTTGTCCAACACAAGGTACCATGCAAAAGTAACAATCATTAATATGATTTGTAGGCTCTCTCCAAACCATTGGGACAGCAAAGCGCATAGACCGTTTTTTGCCATTTAACCAGCTCCTCAGACTTGAAGCACATGTATTACAGCAGATGTGGGGTGCCCACTGTTTGTCTTGATCACCTAGTTTACAACCGAAATAAAGCTGATATGCCTTTGTTATTAGTGGAGTAATAGACCGTCTCTGAGACGCAAAAGTCACATCACCACACACGTAACAAAACTGATCTGGATTGTTTACACACTTTCGAGACATCTTGCATGAACGCTGTCAGCCAACTGAGGAAAAAATGGCTAATATAAAACAATATAATGTACACGTATGTATAACGTAACACAATCATGCCGATTACATCATCTTTCCTTGCCGAATATAAAAATGTAGCACGTGCATTCTTGTGAATTACAGTATATTAACACTGTCACAGCAGGAACACATATAATTACCGTATCTCTAAAACTTGAACTAATATTGAAAAAATAAGTTTCATTCCGGTTTTAGCACATTAAAAATAGTAATATTTTGTTGATTTTATTTAGGATATTTTTTGGCTGTTGATCAGTGTAATCAGCGTTGCTGCCTTTGAGATTGTTAGCTGTATTTAATTTAGTTTATTTAAATAATAATATAAACTATCAGGAGATGTGTGTTGCATGTGATGAAGACACTACATCTGATCTGCACACAAGGTTGGTCTTCTGATATGTAAGAAAATGCAATTTTGGGTTAGGTGATACGTCACGCACCGTAATGTTAGCAAGTTTATAAATTGTTTTCAAGTGTCAGCGGCTGCATTACGGTAACGGGTACAGCAACGTCAGAGTTTATACCGGAAATTATCAATAATGCCGACAACTACTTCGAGCAAATTATAAATAATTTAGATAATTAGTGAAGCAATGGTCAAGAAAATATTATATGAAAGAGTGAACCCAACACCCTGGTTTTCACGGATATTCAAGGAGTCTAAATTAAAACGTGATGACAACTAGAGAAAATGTTTATTAACCCAAAGTGAAAATGATTGGAAACATTATACAAAATCAACAAATGTGTGGGTAGCAGGTTTCAGGAGGGAAAAGAAAAAATACTATGATAAGAAGATCGATAGCAGTAAAAATAATACTAAAATGATGTGGAAAACATTAAAGATTATCGTTTCTCTTAATAGAAAGACTGAGTTATCTAAAATGAGTTTCGAAGAATGAACACTTATTTTATAGAAAGTGTAAATCAAATAGTGAAAACGATTGATAACGGTGATCCAAACTGAAGTCTATTACAAGTATGTCATAATTCATCAATGAATGAATTTAGGACGATTAACATCAACAATCTAAGAAAAAATATCTCGGAATTGAAATCTAATAAACAGTAAGAATCTCTCAAAAAAAATATTCTAAATGATTGTTTCAATATAATTAGGGAGAAATTAATATTATTGGTGAATCATTGCTTAGTACATGGTGGATTCCCATCCCAAATTAAAGTGTTCCACCATTCTCAGCTGTATACAAATATGCGACCGATTAATGTCTTGCCAGATGTCGAGAAGCTTTTCGAAGGGAGAATATACGATCAAATTATTGAACTCGAAGAAACCACAATTTTGAGCTGGATTTAGAAAACAATGTTCTACAGAAACAGGAATAAAAATGGTGCTGGAAGACTGGAGAAGTATAGATGAGAAATAATGTATTGTAACAGTACTTTTAGACTTCAAAAGGGCATTTGAGACTATATATAGGGGATAATTGTTATTGAAATTGCATCACTATGGCTTTGAAGGATCAGTATTAAAAATTTCATAAAATTATTTAGTAAATAGAAGTAAAAAAACTGAAGATGGAAATATTATGTCAAACGTTCAAAATATATCAGCTCATGATTAATAATGAAAAAATTGAAGTGGTCGTATCATTTAAATATCTTGGTATATATGTGGATAGTAAACTACTGTTTCACGAGCATTATGAATACATTATTTCAAAAATATAAAACAATTAATTACTTCTTTATGAATAATAAATGTATTTTTAAGAGATAAGAATGTAAAATTACAGAAAATATGTAAGCGAATAATTATATAAGATTGTCATTGTAGCATTAATGCTAAATAGATCTTCAACAAGCAAATAAACAGACGTTGACTTACCGACTTGCTGTAGATGCTGTTTAGGCCCAATCCCCGAAAGCATCAATATTTGAGGTGAATTCAAACTTCCAGCAGATATAATGACTTCTTTCTTGGCAATTGCTTTGTACTTCCTCCCGTTTCTCACATATTCTACACCATAAGCCTTCTTAGATCTCGGTTCAATGAGTACTCTCGTAACATGCGATCCAGTTCGTACGGTGAAATTTTTCCTGTTGCGAATAGGGCGCAGAAAAGCGCTTTCAGAGCTTACTCTCCTGCCATTTTTGGTGTTACTTTGTACATAAGATACCTGAATAAAATCATAAGAGTTTTAAATATCGTTCGTACAAAAAAAAATGTTTAATTTTGAAACATCCTATGGCTATTCAAATATTTATCACTTGTATTGGAAGTTGAATATAATGAGTGATTTTTTTGCTAGTATCTTTTTGGCAACACTGTTTTTGACAGATGACGCGTGAATCGTGTCTGGTGTCATTGTCAAACATGTTCAGTTTGGTCTATAATTTAACCATGAATCGACTTACGAACGAACAACGCTTGCAATCTATTGAATTTTATTATCAAAATTCATGCTCAGTTAAGAGAGTGCATCGAGCACTGCTTCCAATTTATGGGCAATTTGGTCGGCCTACTGAGGGAGCTATTCGGAAGCTTGTGACTAAATTTCGAACCCAGTTTACATTATTGGACATTAAACCACCAACACGCAGACGTAGAGTGAGGACTGAAGAAAATATTGCGGCTGTATCCGCAAGTGTTAGTGATGACCGTGAAATGTCGATTCGCCGCCGTTCGCAGCAATTGGGCCTTTATTACTCCACTACGTGGAAAATTTTGCGACAGGATTTGGGTATAAAACCTTATAAGATACAGCTGGTGCAAGAATTGAAGCCACACGACCTCCCACAACGTTTCCCATTTGGTGAATGGGCGCTGGCAAAGTTGGAGGAAGATCCACATTTTTATCGAAAAATTGTGTTCAGCGACGAAGCTCATTTCTGGTTGAATGGGCACGTTAACAAGCAAAATTGCCGCATCTGGAGTGAAGACCAGTCAGAAGCATTGCAAGAGCTACCAATGCATCCCAAAAAAATCACTGTTTGGCGTGGATTATGGGCCGGTGGTATCATCGGGCCGTACTTCTTCAAAGACGACAATGGCGGGAACGTAACTGTGAATGGCGAGCGCTACCGTGCGATGATAACAAACTTTTTTTTGTCCAAAATGGAAGAGCTGGACTTGGCTGACATGTGGTTTCAACAAGGCCACACTGCACACGAAACAATGGCCCTATTGAGAGGCGAGTTCGGTGAACAGTTTATCCCACGTTTGGGGCCCGTCAATTGGCCGCCTAGATCGTATGATTTAACGCCGTTTTACTATTTTACTATTTCTTGTGGGGCCATGTTAAGGCTAATGTCTACAGGGATAAACCAGCAACGATTGACGCACTGGAAGCCAATATTGAAGCATTTATTCGTGAGATCCCGGCCGATATGTTGGAGAGAGTGTGCCAAAATTGGACCTTGCGCATGGGCCATCTAAAGCGGAGCCGCGGCCAACATTTACATGAAATAATCTTTAAACATTAAATTATATCGACCGTTCTATCGACTCGAATAAAGATTTAATCGTTTTTTCAAATTTTTTGTGTTTTTTGAAAATTAAATCCTATACCTCTTAAAAAATCACCCGTTACAAGGAGATGAAAAGTTTGTGACCAAGCACACGTGCACATAAAGGACATAATGAGAAATTCTATGGACTCTGACGTAATATCCAAATATGGGAGACCCACTTTTATGGAAAATTCACTCGCTGCAGATAGGCTGCGATAGCCTGAATACACATACAGGGTGTGCTTGAAGTCTGGGCTTTACACGAAGTTTATTTGTAAAGATAAGCGATTTTTTATAGTAACACATACATGAAAGGTAGCTGAGATATTAGGTTCCTACGCTATCTGCGATATCAAATGAATCCCTACATTCAGCAGATTAGATGAAAACAAACGACGTAGGTCAGTAACTAACCCTGGCACCGCGCATCGTGCAAGTTAACTCAGCTGTTGTGTGTTTATAAGAAGGATTAGAAAAAAAATGGAAATGAAGCATTCCTATAGCCATTACAATATTGTCGATATGAAGAAAAGATCCTGCTGATTCTTTGCGAGTAAGCCCAGAAAATACCCCTGGACGTTTTCAAGCCACGCCTCGAAGGTGCGTTTAAATCGTACAAAGACCGTTAGCAGGAACGTCAAGATGGAGAAACCTGGTCAACCCCACATATTGCAAAAAGAAGAAGTTAACATGCTTGCGTTTTTATTCTAAACAGCGACAATTTCTTATCAAATGCACAGCACATATGTCCTTTTTGACTTGTTTTTCCTCACAGTATATTTTGTTACTTCAAACGTAGTTGCTTCTCAAAAAAAAATATCTAGACTTTCAAAATACCCTATATAGTTTTAAGATTTTTCCACGCATCAGGTAAATATTAGTAAATATTAAAGTATTCTTTATAAACGTTATGATAGTCATTATTTAAATGGGTGATAGAGGGGTTTAAAAGAAGCAAAAAGTTTCATATAACATGGGGGTCAAAACGGCCTGTTTTTTAGAAAAAAGCGACTTTAAAGTAAAAAAAAATCTGACAATGCCGCAATGCTAGACGTAAATTGCGACGGAACGCAGTGTAAATAAAGATGGAGTTTGTTATTTTTGGCTCTCAGGTATTATTTCATTATTTGATAATGTACTCGTAAAATGCAAACAATTTAAAAAAACGGACTTACCACTAACTGTCTCAGCGCTTCACCTGGTGTGTGAAAGTTTACTGAACGTATTAAAAAAATTCACTTATAAATAGGGAACACAATTTTGATACATACGTTATTTTTCTTTTTAAAACCCACACTGTACTTTTTTTGAATTTAAAGAAGGTGTTCAAAATGTCGTCCTCGACTTTCCACACAAGCTTCATTACCATGAACCCAGTTTCTTCTTACTCTAGGTCCTCGAAGTTGTATTATTTCAGCCGCATTAAAATTTTTTTCGCGAAGTTGTGCTTCAGTTCTTATTTTACCCATAAACCATCCCTCTAAGTTCTCCCCAATACCAGAAATCCATCGGATTGAGGTCAGGAGATCTTGCTGGCCCTTTTCGAGGATCAGGAGCATTTCGACCGATCCACCGATTTGGATAATGTTCATTCAAATACTGAATGACGCCTCTAAAAATGTGTGGTGGTGCACAGTCAAAAATCACAAATTCTGTCTCCGTTGTAATGGCATGTTGTCTAAGGTCTGTTCCAAAAGTTCTGGTAGGTTATTGGCTAGAAAGCTAAGGTATCCTTCTCCTGACAACTTTGGGGGTAACTCGAAAGGGCCAATCACCTAATCACCGTAAATTAACAACATGTCGGCGAACTCTTGATTCGAGAACATTGTAAATAAACACCACGACGTACGCGAACAAAAACAAAACAACATACTAACCATTGTTACCGTTTGCGATCGATTGCCGGTTCGATAAAAGTGATGAAAAACCGACGCGCTGTTGTCATGTGTGTTTTAAATATTTAATTTAATGAAACTTACTTACTGATTATAAATTTTGGCTTAACTTAGAAAAACGTAATGCCATTTATTTGTTAATTACCCAATTCAAAAACGTTTTGTGGTGATATTTAAATGAAGCACTTAAAGTTGTAAACTATAAATCCATTTAGACAAAAATCTATTGACTTTTGAACCATGGGTCATGTGAACTTTTTGACTAGTTTTGACCCCTCCATATTACCCATTTCAATAATGACTACCATAACGTTTACGCCCTGTATATTTCATATCATGACTAAAATAACTTTTAAGATCACATCAGCGAACTTTTATTCTGATGAAATATTCTTATACCATATTTCGCTCCAAAATCAGTTTCAGAAGATACTCGTAGTAGATGTCCTAGAGGACAGATTAGTATATCCTTCTCAACACGTATAATATACAGGTATCGCTTAGGCTGGCCATGCCTGCCAAGGTTCACCAGTAAGTAGCCTTTCGACTTGAAGGTAGAAAGCTGAAACATGTACTTTACTCATAGGCGTACACATCTCTTTTTTGTCAAAGGGTTTTGCTTAGCGTTTGATTAAAAACAAACAGAGTTGTTCTAGCAGACATGATGAGAATAACCTACTTGAAAAAGCATTTCATATCTGACCTTTTTCGAAGTTATGCCTACAAATATTCCCTTCATGGTGAATACAAATGTAAAATCGATTTACCCCGATTTGCCTTCTTCCATTATAATCGACAAACGGATACCCTGCTTCCTTGGCAGCCTCAACGTAAGCATCAACAGCTTCAGATCTGAACGGTATGTCGCTAACTCCCAAGTATCCTCCTTTTCTATGAAATCCAGCATCCTCAACTGTCTGCGAAATGTTAGCATCTTCTGACTTCAAGAAGTACGGAAATATATCGTTGTAGGACCATCCAGGATTGCCCATCGCCTCCCACCTAATTCAGTATTCTAATAAGTTTCCATGTTTGCGATAGGGAATATGTACGAGGTCTGTAAATTAAGTGATAATATATATATTTGCAGTATTTGTACAATTTGTGATGAGACTGGCAAAGCAGCGTTCGATCTGGCAATACTGGAGGCGCGGGCCTTCAGTACAAGTTTGAACTCGCTGAGTCATTTCGATCGGCCAATAAAAACATTCATGTGGCTCCTCAGCCTCCTTATTCACCTGATTTGACTAATTGTGACTGTTCCAGCACTGCTATGAGGAGAGGAAGAACCATTGCCTGCGCTCTGTGGCTTCAGAAGGAAGTTATACTAAGTGACATATAAATGCGAACACCCAGTTTAAATGGTTTTATTTTAATAAAATTTTATATAAGTACTTAATGAAGCATAATAAGTAAATGATAAAAATTTCAAAATGATTGCACTGCTTTAAAGCCCTTTGATCTTTAATAATGTGTGGATGCACCCTGATGTGCTACGCATTCTCCAACGCGCCTAGGCATGCTTCTGATCAGGTGGTCAATGTCCTCCTGTGGTATCTCATTCCAGGCAACCACCAACTCCTCTCGAAGTGCTTCTAGAGTATGAGGAGGACGTTGCAAATTGAGCAATCTCCTACCCATCATATCCCACACGTGCTCAATTGGGGATAAGTCGGGAGATCTTGGTGGCCATGGTAACAATGTGACATCATTATGTTGAAAGAAGTCTATTGTGACTCTTGCAACATGTGGTCGGGCATTATCTTGTTGGAAAGTTAGATCTGCCAGGGTGTCAAGATAGGGTAAAAGATGGGGGTTCTAGAACTTCGTGGATATAACGCTGCGCATTTATGTTACCTCTGATAAAGATTAAAGGTGACCTGGAACCATAAGCTATAGCACCCTAAACCATAACTCCAACAGTGTGATGAACATGTCTTTCAACAAAAAACTGTGGATTCCTCCTTTCACCACGTCGCCTTCTAACCCTGGCACGACCATCGTGCATGCCTAAACAAAATCGAGACTCGTCACTAAAGACAATACTGTTCCATTCCTGATCCCAGAGTGACCGTTGTCTGCACCACTCAAGGCGATTACGTCGGTGTTCTCGAGTTAAAGGGAGGACCCAGTGTGGCCGGTATGAAAACAAGCCAAAACTTCTCATTCGTCGGTAAACACTTCTCATGCCAGTAGGTCTTCCGTGTTCTGCAAACCATTCATTTGCAATGGACCTGGTAGTGGAGAAACGGTCCCTTAAGGGCAATAATCTTAGGCGGCGATCTTCACGGTCTGTTGTTCTACGGCGGCGTCCAGTGCCCCTTGCTCTTTGCGTACGGCCTTCTCGAAGCCATGCCTGACAACACCTAAACACAGTGTCTACACTTCTTTGCACTCTAACTGCAATTGCCCGAAAAGAAAGTCCAGCTTCCCGAAGTCCCACTATACGGCCCCTATCAAACTCACTAAGTTGACGAAATCGTGCAGGTCTCCGTACTCTAGGCATCGTAACCGATCGTAAAGGATGTCAAGAACCAAAATCCGCCAACGTTGATTCTTTACTGCGGCTGAAATATTCATTTTAGAGCGTTAGTGAATTAAAAAAAAGCAGTATAAAATCCGGAATGTCCGACTGATAAGGCTGAAAATTTTTTCACTTGTTATTTACAGTAAGATTCATTCACCAACTTTTATTAAAATAAAACCATTTAAACTGGGTGTTCGGATTTATATGTCACTTAGTATATTTTGAGGGTGACAATATGAAACTGTGAATATATTATGATAAAAACTCATTCTCATCACTTAATTTACAGACCTCGTATGTGATTCAAATAGCGCTTAATTATGTTTATTTACAATCTATGTTGCTGCAGAATGATGCAATCTTATTTTATACTTGAGCGCATGTTTCGGACAAACACTGAATAAAAAGAAAAGGTCCAGGATACTGATACAGGTGTTAGTGCATCTGCGAGTGGTTGAGATTTACCTGTCATAATCCAGTCTGTTGCCTCTGACATAGATCATGTAGTTGATGATTGTGCTGCCACCTAGCGCCTTTCCATGAGGCCATTCCATTCTGCCATCTATACAACCTACAATTCGAAAAAATATTAACTTTGTTTCTGATCCGCACCCTTGTTGCAACTGACGATGACTGCCCTACAGCAACCCTTTCGAACCCTAGCTACTATAATGTATTTAAACCTCATTTACTTTGCGACAAAACAAAAATGATTACTCAATCGCCGCTTCTATTTGCTTGTCGCTGCCACGTCCAGGCATTTATGGTCCCCTGGCCAATATTATGAGCGCGCAAATATAAGCGTCGCGCGCTTGATGTTTGTAAATGTAATTTGAATACACTCCAGCTGGTCGAATAGCCCACGCCACGCCTACTCGCGGTGAACACCTATACCCATTTACGGAAGAAGAATTCTTTAACCTGATCGACAAAAGGTTAAAGAACAAGCGTTCCTCAGGTGCTGACGAAATTCCTAATTTCCTGGTTAAGAACGTTTTGGTATATTATATTGTTAGGCCCTTTGATTTTCTGATCAATCTGTCTTTATGTACTGGCTCTTTTCCAGATAGCTTAAAAATGGGAAAAGTTACTCCCATACACAAGAAGGGAGAAACTATTAACGCAAAGAATTACAGACCGGTGACGGCTCCCTGTTGTTTTTCCAAAATTTTCGAATACTGTTTCTTGAGTCGGTTGACGCTGTAACCTTGAAAGAAATGAGGTATTAACATCCAACCAACATAGTTTCCGTAATGGTAGGTCAAGACTAACAGCATCTCATCCTTTCTTCAATACACTAGTTCAGTACATTGAGGCAGGAGAATGCCCTGTTGGTATCTTCTGTGATCTAAGCATGGCATTCTACTGTGTCAACCATGATCTGTTATTAGTAAAACTGGCAACTTATGGAATCGGTGGACCAGCCTACCTGTGGATAAAAACAGATCGCAGTACGTGACAATGACTCATTACTACTCAGGACAACTAATACAAGTCAATTCTAGTGCGATAAATATGGATGTTGGCGTTCCACAAGGATCTGTGTTGGGGCTTGTTCTGTTTGCATTATATGTAAATACTCTTGAGCAGTCCTTCCCCAGAGCGCACTTTACTTAATACGCGGACGACACATCGATTATTTTATCAAATAAAGATGACGTTATCCTAATTTTACGACTGTAACAGCTTGTTACATAGCATCAATAGCTGGTTCGTGGAGAACCAGCTGCATCTAAACTGTGAAGAAACAACAGCAATCAGATTCCACAACGCCCAAACATCAATACCTCCCCTGCAGCTTACATTGGATAATTCAGCCCTGCCCATCAGTGAGAGCACAAAATTCTTGGGACTGCACCTGGATGAGTGCCTCAATTTGAAAGGACATTGTGACCACCTGTCTGCGAAGCTTAGCTATTTAAAAATTTGAGAACAGTTTTTACACGCGACCAGTTATTGATGTTATATCACAGTCATATCGAGTCGCGTATGCGGTATGCATTGTGTTTCTGGGGTTCCTCGATGAATGCTTCAAAGGTATTTCGAAGTCAAAAGAGAATAATAAGGTGCATAACAGGTGTTGACAGTATATACACTTGCAGAGACTTGTTACCGAAATTAAAAATTCTAACACGTTATGTCTTTATGAAATGGCAATATATACGTATATTAAGAGAGATAATTTCACCTTGAATAGTAATATACGTTACATACATTCAATACTCTATTTTAGGAACAAAGATATTCAATAAGCTGCCTGAGTATATTAAGACAATTAGCTCCTTAAATAATTTTAAAGCTGAGTTAAGAACCTACTTTATTAATAAGACTTGTTACGCCATCAGTGACTTTGTGGATATTTAGATGCTCTTTTTTGTATTATTTGTTATCTGCTTATTGTTTGTCCTTTTATATATTTTTATATTGTATTTCTGTTAATTTATTAATTTTAACTGCTGGAAAGCTAAATTTTATCTGCTGTTGTTAGCCTATGGTGTCCATTTTAAAATATCTAATTTAGGCTATTGTTTGTTGTTGTATTATGTATATACATACTGTAAATTGTTTGTTGACAAACCCTATACATGTTTTATACATGTCTAATGGGTAATAAATATTATTATTATTATTATTATTATAAAGGAATGACATAAAGACTTTAATTTGTAGTCTTATCTTATTAGACGAAACTACCCTTGGTTTGCGAAATAATTGTAAAGTCTGGTTTTATTGATGCAGGTTGTTCAGGGGGGTATTTAAGACATGGATGCATAAAATGATTACAACAATTTTTGTGAGAAAACTTTTTATTCGACAATAAAGAATGAGAACGTGTTTTTGGGATTCAATGGAAAGTGTTGGTAGGAACCAGTAGGAACGAAATAAGATTTTTAGGTATTTGTGAGACCTACAGAATGAGACCACGCGTAAAGAGATCCCACTAATAGTAAAAAAGTTGTGGCCGAAAACCGAGACAAAATGCAGATTTTGGCACTTATTGCTAATGCAACGATACCTTTCACGCAGCTAGTTGAAATTCTTCAAATCCGAAGGCTTCTTATTTCTAAAGAATTTGTATGTCAAAATCCCACTTTTATAGTAGAATTGTGCGGATGATTACTTTTATTCATGTCACTGTTTCTCTTCGAAAAATCTTTGATTCTCTTGAAACCTCATTTTGCAGCAAATTGAGCGATTCGAAGAGTGGTGCTGAGAAAAAGCTAGGCTATTTCTTTACGGCTAAGAAGTACTTTTCTCTAAATGTCCTCCTCGCTCTGTACAAGGCCCAGATAAGATTTCTTACGTAATAATCAGTTTATGACAAGTTCATCAAGAATTTAAAAATATGAGAAAACCAAATGCCTCTAGGATTCGAACCCATACGCCCATATTTCCAATACACTGGTCAACAAAATTTTAACTTTGTCGTGCCACACGGACTTTTTTGATATTTTTTACTTTAATTGGTGATTGTAAGAAAAAATAAACAGTTAAAAAAAATTTGCTAGACAAGGATTTTATTCTATTGAGTAATTTAAAATATTAAGAAAAAACACAGATTTCGTAAATCAAAAGTTATTTTTTTTTTATAAATGACTTAATAATCTAAGATTTTCTTGAATATTTAGCTTCTGGTTGGTCCCTTTTAATTGTCCAGCAGTAATCTGCTAACATATTTGGGCTCCATTTGCCCTGGTACCGCTTTTCCATATTAGAAATGTCCTGATGGAACCTCTCACCGTGCTCGTCGCTGACAGCCCCTAAATTGTCAGGAAAAAAATCCAGGTGCGAGTCTAAAAAATGGATCTTAAGTGACATGTTGCAACCCAATGCTTGATATGACAATAATAGCTCGCTAACCAACTCTCTGTAGCTGTCACTCTTGTCGTTACCCAAAAAATTTGCAACAACGTTTTTAAAAGCCTTCCATGCAGATGTTTCTAAATCGCTTAATTTTTCTTCAAATCTTGAATCTTTTATTAACTCCCTAATTTGAGGGCCAACAAAAATACCCTCTTTTATCTTTGCATCACTTATTTTAGGGAATTTTTCTTTTAGATACAAAAATTGCCTTCACAAATTTTTTTATTAATCCTAATTTGATATGCAATGGTGGTAGAAGCACATTATTTGGCTGTACAAGGGGTAAATACTTTACGCTTTTTTGTCCAGGAACTAACGATGCACGCGTAGGCCATGTTTTTTTTATATAGTGATTAGTTCTGTCTCGGCTATCCCATTCACATAAAAAGCAGCAAAACTTTGTATAACCCAGCTGAAGTCCAAGTAATAGTGCAACAACTTTAAGATCACCGTAGATTTTGAAGGAATATGTACTGTAATTTATTTTTTCAAGTAAAGGTTTCATATTTTCATAGGTTTCTTTCATATTTGCAGCATGGGCCAGAGGTACAGTCGGAAGCTTATTTCCATTATGCAATAACACTGCTTTTAGACTTGCTTTCGAAGAATCAATGAATAAACGCCACTGAGAGAGATCAAAATCTATGTCCAACATTTTCATAATCTCATTTATGTTATTGCAAAACACCAAATCTCCATCCTGAGAAAAATACGTTCTGAAGTGTTGATCACGGTTTCGAAAATAGCTAACTTTTGTATTATCATGTAGCAAATTCCATTCTTTTACGTGATTCTAATAGTTCTGACTGCTTTTTTGACAAATTTAAATCCCGAACCAAATCATTTAGGTCTCCTTGAGTTATCAAATGTGGCTCGTTTACAATTCCTTTTAACTCAAAGTCATCGTCCTCGTCAAACATTCACCTGAAGTGGACGGTTGTGAATTGTTCTCAACAGTCGTAGTTGCAACTGGTATTAGTTCTGGCAATTTTTTACAATGAGAGACTGGTCTTATAGCCGAAGATAAGTTAGGGTAAATAACTGTGGTTTTTTTCTTGTAATTTATAACTTTTATGTCTGTGAGACAAAAATAGCAATCTGAAACGTGATCTCGCTGTTCAGTCCATATCATGGGTACAGCAAACGGCATAGGTCGTGCACCTTTCTTCCAGTCAGTTAAATTTTTCACACACGTTATGCAACAGACATGAGGGGCCCAGGATTTGTCTTGATGGGCGACAGAAAAACCAAAACATTGGTGATAACACTCCAACACAAGATTCGTAAAATTTGGTCGTTGTTTTTTGAATGTTAGTTCTCCGCAGACATAACAAAAAGAGTTAGGATCATTATTACACTTCCTCGACATATTCACAGGGTTAATAAATCACAAAAAAGTATTCAAATTCAACAACAAATATTTTTATAAGGATTTACTTGTAAGCGTTTCTGTTAATTTACTGCCGTAGTACTAGTTATTAGTATTACCGTATCACAACAAATATGAGGCTAATAGACATATGACAGCTGTCATGTAATAATGAGGGTAGACTGATAAAACAAAATTAGCTGTCAAAGTTCGTGTGGCAAAACCAGTGTTGACCAGTGTAATCTTTGTTCGTGTATCTGCCGGAAACAATTTTTTTTGTATCCCTAATGCTCACCTCTACAGAAGCCTTCCATTTTCTCTGCCTTATAGCCCCAATTGTATTTGGTAAATTCTAATGCTCCACACAAAAATGGCCACTCCACGATCTTACTTGCTTCGTCTCCGGCTTCAAGCAGAAGAATTTGCCAACCATTTTGCTCAGACAATCGGTTAGCTAGGGCGGCTCCGCTTGGCCCAGAGCCAACAATGATGAAATCAAATTCATTGCTGTCTTTTGAATCTGGAAACAATAAAAGGATCAGTGTCTACAAGCGGGGTTTTCGGCACTAGAAATAACTCAAATTTCAAGTTGATTGCATCTATGAAATGTCTGCATTTAATTTATTCTAGAAAATACGTATTTTGAACTTTCGCCAGCATTTTTCTTTTCACTTTAGTACTTGTTTGGTCCTGGTTCTGTCCAAAATTCATACGTTTTCGAATATTCAAATTGGTATTTTCATATGAGCGCATGGTCGTAACCCTTTCTACTCCAAATCTATAGTAAAATACGCTTACATACACCTCCAACTCCCCCTGAATTTTGAGCAAATAATTTTTTTATGAACTTTTTTCATTGGATTATCCGAGAGTCAAAGATATACTGAACCACAGCCGATGTCAACTACGAGCCGTGAACAAAGAAATCTGGCAACGTAGGTGGTAGTGTTACTCCCGCCGCTGCTTGCTGCATCGACGCAACTCGTGCTCAAAACGCTGAGAAAACATAACCTTTTCAATTTGTGATTTTGGAATCCCAGAGGCTGTAATTAAGAGATAAGCTTGTTTTCTAAGCTACAAAGTGTATGTATGTGTTCAAAGTGATCGGTGACTATAATATATGAGAAATAGACTCCAGTTGTAGTGCTTTTATGCTTTAAAAATAAACTAAGAAGTGTTACTGTGGCTGTTCGCGCCTCAGGACGCTAAGGATTTCAACTATTGAAAACGTGCAAATTCAGGTTGTATTTTTCTTTTTTCATTTATCAAGTATTTGACGCAGACAATATGCCTCGTTGTTGCTGTGTTCCTTTATGCAATGCAAACTATAATTCTGCTTTGAAAACAGAAAGCTATGTTTCAACTTTTCGCTTCCCAAGTACCGAAAGTCTGAAAAACAAATGGCTTATGGCAATTCCCAGAAAAAATTGGACACCTTCAAAATATTCAGCTGTGTGCAGTCGTCATTTTAGAGAATCGGATATCATCAGGACAGAAAATATAGTTTTGGCGGATGGAACAGTCCAAAATAATATACCTTTGAAATATCCAAAATTGAAAGAAAATGCTGTTCCCTCCATTTTCCCAAACTTGCCATCATATCTTTCAAAAACTGAAGCACCCAAAAGAACTGACCCAATGCAAAGAAAACAAAAATTAATTGAGAAACATGAAAAAGCTATCCAGAATTTCGATGATATGGATAAGATCAAAGACTTTCAAGAATAACATTCTTCATTTTAAAAAATTAAAGCCTCACAGAAATGGAATAATAAATTATCTGATGGAAAGCTATATTTCAATAAATTGGATTTTGAAAATGATATCTTAACTTTGAATACACAGATTATAGTTGATGGTCAGATGGAAGTTCAGGTTGTTCATAAAGGATGTAAGCTTTCTTTTAGCGACTTGAAGTGGGTTTTGCCATATGATCTCAAAATTACCAGATGGTCCCAATTAGAAAACCTGCTAAATATGTATTTTTTCTATTTTTCTGAGAACCAACACAAAAACTCTGTTGAAGTTTGCATCATGAATGCATTGGAACAACTTGACACAACGATTTCCATAATTAATGATGACTCAGTTATGTTTCTATATACAAAAAATCTAGAGATTATTGCTGATCAGCTGAGACAAATTCAATACAGGAAAAACAGATATGCATCACTTTCAATAATAATGGCTTTTACGTTTTATAACCACTCATCATCAACATATAATTTAATTAAAAGATTTTTTATTTTGCCAAGTAAGAGATACTTACAACATATCTCCTCAAGTATGGATATATCTCCAAAAAATGATAGGAATAATGAACACTACCTTTCGAATATAGCAATTAAATTAGCTCCAAGAGAAAAAATTGTAATTTTGATGATCGATGAAATTTATATAACATCTAGGCTGGACTATCGCTCACAAAACATTGTTGGGTATGCCTCAAATAAAAATGACATGGCTAAAACTGTTTTAGCCTTCATGCTATCTTCAGCATTTGGAAACATAACAGAAATTATCAAATTACTACCAGTTTCAAATCTAACAGGTGATGAAATGACACCTTTGGTTGAACATGTGATAAATTTAGTTCAAAAATGTGGATTTGAAGTTATTTGTGTTGTTACTGATAATCACCGAATTAATAGAGCAATGTTCAGGAAATTAGCAAAGGATTCATCAGAAAATTATTCTATTCCAAATCCACATAATCCTGATAAGAACATATATTTAACTTATGATGTTGTGCATATTTTCAAGAGTATCAGAAATAATTGGATTAATTTAAAAAACCTAGACAAAACTTTTGTATATCCTAATTTTGACAATAATGATATTATTCAGTATGCTAAATTTGAAAACATTCGTGCTGTATATCAATTGGAAAAAGAAGCTGTAGTTAAGAAAGCATATAAATTAAATTATAAAACATTGCATCCAAATTCATTTGAAAGGCAAAATGTAAATTTTGTAGATAATTGTTCCATCACTCAACAATAGCTGCTATGAAAGAATTAAAGTTTAATGATGCTGCACACTTTTTGGAAATAATCAGGAATTGGTGGGATATTGTCAGTAATACAAGTGTAATAAAAGGAGAATTGAAGCGAAATGAATTTTGTAAGCCTATTACCAATAAATATGATTATAGAGTACAATTTTTAAAAAAATTCCTGATATGGTTAGAAAAATGGCATAATCTAGAGAATAATAATGGACACCTGACACCAGAAACGTATACAGCTCTATATCAAAGCACGCTGACTCTACTTAATATAATTGAATATTCATTTAATCAATTTGACATTGAGTATGTATTGCCTGGAAAATTCACCACTGATAATTTAGAAAAACGATTTGGCAATTATAGACTTTTATGTGGCTGCAATTAATATGTGCCATATGATGAAATTTTAAATGCTGAAAAGAAAATACGGCTGAAGCATATTTCATTTTCATATTTCAATGAAAAGAAATGGTCATTTTCTTTAGCAGAAATTAAAACAAGGTTCCAAAACTGCTTCGAAGCTCAAGAAAATTTTGATTTCTTGGATACCAAACAAAATCCTGAAGTTTTGGATATATTCAATGAAGTATTTGAGACAAATTACTTAGCCAATTGTGACATAGAGGATAGTACTAAGACTTATATATCTGGATATGCTTCACACGCTATCTCTAAAAACCTAAACTGCGAGATATGCAAATCGCTAATAGTTAAAGAAAAAGGTTCATTAACAACAAATGTTTATTTTGATCATTTGCAAAGAGGAGGACTGTCAATTCCAACCAGTTATGTACCAATCATATTCTACCATATGTATGCTATTTTTGAATCTATTATTAATGTAGATAGATTTGAAATTTTCTTCTTGAAAAGCAAAATTTATTTTGTGTCAGTTAACCTTGCTCAGCATTCAGTCTGACTTTATATACAGTGAATTTTCTTTAACTTGCATCTGTGGCCGCAATTATGCAGATATTTTATCTAAGCTTTTGTCTATTTTTTCAAACATAATTTTGAATGATTATGTAAAATTGAAAAATAACAGTAAAACTGAAAGTAAATGTATTAAAAACAAACAGGTAACTCCACATTTCCAAGCTGGGCCTGTTGGAACACAGTGTGCTGACACCAAAAAACGTAAACTAAATACTTTTAGTTAGGTAGCGACTCATATATTCACAGGTAGCACTACCATGCCGTCCGAGCGCGGTGTTGCCTTTCTTTCATCACGGCTCGTAGTTGACGTCGGCTGTGAGTGAACAATAAATTCCCGCATTTGCATACTTACGTTGTTGGTCGAGATACCTGGGAAAGAACCTAGTAAAAATTCCAGCGGTATTAAGGGCGGCGGTCAGCAACCTTCCCAAAGGTCCTGCTTCATCGACGACTGCATCCGTACCTAGCACAGCCAATAGAATACATACTTCCACCGCCAGATTGTGGACCAACATCTAGAACAAGAATTTCATGTTCTCAATGGGTCTATACTTGCCACGCCTTAGTCGCAGCTCCAAGATTCCGAAAAATGTTTGAGTGAAGTTTATATATCTTTATTCTCTATGTGTAACTATTGTGTCTAACATTAATGTAGAATTATCAAAATAGCAACCTTAATAATACCTAATGTAACCCTTCAACCACTTCAAAAAAATTCTGAAAATGAACAGTCTTTAAAACATCTTGTGTTTTCCTTTTTTACTCGTCGCTCCGATGCAATTGTACTTTGAAAATACACGAGTTTTTTCATCCTTTGTAATACCCTTTTACCAATATTGTCAGTGGTGATTTTCTCAGTTATACGAGCCCCTTCCCACTTCAGTTGGCCCACTTCAAGATTTGTATCAAAATATGCCTGGATAAACTAAACATGACGAAACTATTTACTTCTAAAACAATTTATTTTCTCAAAAACATTTTAGATACACTCTAGTCGTAAAAAATACATATTTGAAATCACTTAGACCTATAACTAATATAATATCTGAACAACTAAACAATGTGCGAATAAATGCGCGAAGTTAACAAAGCAACAATTGAAAGATTACCATTGGTTACCCAATGATGTTACATCACCTTTATTTTTCATTACGGCTGA